CTCAAATATTTCCTTTTTTTTTTCTTTTTAGTGCAATAATCCAATGACTAAAGAAGCTAAATTACAAGCAGCTATGCGTATTTTGCCCGAATGGGTGGGTTATGACGAAGAAATTAAAACTCTACAACAAAAAATAGAGAATGCAAACAGACAAACGGAAAAAGAGAGCGGTACGTTTTTATATGTGTATATATTTGTTGTTTTTTACACGAAAATTTTACATTTATTCTTTATTGCAGAAATTGTCGATGATGTCTCGAAACATCAAGAATTATAAATTAAATTTATGTATAATTTATGAAAAATTTTATAAAATTCTATAGGAAATTTAAAAAAAGAAATTTCCATTTGAAATAGATTAATAAGTATTGATAACATTTTCGATATTTCACTTTTGTAACTGATATTTGGCACTTTTTTGTGTAAATACTTGCCATCAGTACTCGTATAAACTCTCAGAAACAATTCGAACCGAAGGGGTTTTTGTTACTCTTGTTCTTATAGATCCATATTTTGTATAACCATAAATTATGGATTTTATGAAATGCGTCTTATGATGAATAAGGTTATTACTTCTTCAAGACAAGATTTATTCGCTTCAGATGCGAAAACTCGATAAAATCCGAAATAATTGATAATTGTTGAGAGTATACAGTATTCTTCTGGTTATTTATGAACGTGCACGTTCAATTCATGTTATTAAGCCAATGTGATTTATAATTGTCTACTACGATAGTTATAAGGAATAAACTTGTAACATTTGTAAAATATTTTTGATATTTCCCTTTTATATAATAGATGTAGAGAAAGAGAAAATTTAAAAACAGGCAAAGGAACTATCAAAACTTAATAGATACATTGTGGATGCGACATATGTACGAGTAAATCTATTCGTAAATAATATTCGATCGTAGAAAATACTCAATTCCATTATTAATGATGAATTTTTTACAATAGTCTACATTTTTCGACACGGATCATTTCACGCGCTAATGACGACTGTTCTTTTCAAAAGAATTTATTTTGGCCGCGGCAACGAAGCGAATCAGAGCGAAGCGAACGAAGAAATTCGAAAAACATTCCAATTGATAATCTGATAATTCTCGATCTCGATCATATCGATCTGAAAACTTTAAAACAACGATGTGACAACCGCTTGAAATGATTTCGTCTTATCTTTCACGATCGGAGATCAAACATATGCCGATAGGGCAAAATAAAAATCAATTTTTTGCTATAAAAAATCTGTTATATCTATTATAATCTCTTATATTTTGCTCGATTTTCTGAATCGACAAACGCGTGAAATTGGAACGATGCAAATCGATCATCTTGCATCGTCTGTATCAAATCAAAGAGAAACGCCTTTGTTAAACGGATAGAAGATAATCATTAAACGAACACCGATCCGGGTCATCATCGTGTCTTGCGCGCGCGTCGTTCGCCTCTCTCGCCCGCGTTCATAATATTTATATGTAAACACGTCAGGAGAGAGCTAAGCACGCACCTCTAATGACATTTCCCGACGCATCGTAACCCCCGCGCTGTCGCAGATTTGCCGCCGATCAACTTGGCTCCTCTCAGCTTCGCCTCTGTCAATTGTCCGCGCGCCCGCATCGTTCGCGCTTCTCCTCGCCGACAGTCCACCTCATAACTTCATTCAGGGCGATATGGAAAACAGCGGAAATAGTTCTGTGGAATTAGAGACTGTCGAGCGAAACAACAAAGCCAATGAGTAAGTCACGCTTCGATAATAATGTTGTGTTATTGTTATTATACAACAAGAAAATCACTTAATTCCTCTTATTTGACAGAGTTTTACACGTATGTATTTTATGAGTATTTTTATAAATATGATTCGCGATGAAGTAATGGTTTAATTTAAATATAAGTTTAAATTCAAATAATTTAAATAACACACCTGTGTCAAAAATAAAGAAAAAATTAAATAGGAAAGAATACACATGCAAATATTTAATCTTCTGCCAAATTCTTCTGTAGTTTGGAAGAAATTGAAAGTTTAATTTTGCAGAAAAGAAAGTCCTCTAAAATTGATAGAATAAAATAAATAAATTCGTTTATTTTATCAAGTTTTGTGCGATATCAAAGATATTCCAATAATTCATCTGTGATTAATATTTCATCTATAATTACAACTATTTTATAAATTATGGAATATCAATCAACTTCTTCTTGGCAAAAAAATATGATAAATAAAAAACAATTTTGTTTGTCAACTAATTGTTGTCAGGAATTTGTTAATATTTATAATAATTTAGCTTGAAATTAATATTCTAATTATTACGATCATAATATAATATTATAATCCTAATACAAAAATATAGTATATTTAAAAATTTTGAATTGCGCACATTAAATTGTTCACGTCAGGGACACGCAAACCTTTAAATATTCCATGATTATTTTATAACATTTTTTATCATAATGCATGATCGTATTTTATTTATTTTGTGAGGTAAAAGGGAGGGAAAGATTATTCTTTAATAAATATTATTTTCTTTTTGATTGACACTTTAACGACATTTTTCATGGTTCCGTATACATGTAAAAATATGGTCTCAAGTATCCAATTGCGTTACACGAAACCCTACTCCTACTTCGCGATATATATTGCTGAAAGAATTACAAAATACAGTCGCACTAGTAGGAACCGATAGTTTCGTTTCAGCACCGGAATGTCGATCACTACGAAAATGGATTTGGGTTGCATCATCGACGAGTAAATAATAAATTTAATATATTATTTTTTTTAATATTATATATTACTCTTATACTTTACTGTATAATACTTATTCATAATACTTTCTTATATTTTCTTTTTTAAAAATTCTTTACAATTTAAAAAAAAAATTGATTAATTATGTTCTTCCACTTTTTCATATTGTGAAAAATTTTATTCCGACAAATAATTTAAACTTAATTTCAATAAACTAATGATTTTAATCTAATGATGAATAATAATAACACAAATGACGCAATTTCAAAATATATAATTTTGTTGTATTTGAAAATTTATTTAATAATTTGTAGATCATATATCATATATCAAAAGCAAGATTTCCGTATTATACACTGTATTGACTTCCGTGTCTTTTACGTATTTAAATTAACAACAAAACGATAACAAAGTGAAGGTTAAAGATAATTCATAAATATATGTTATAGAGCTTAATTATGTCGTTGATGTTCATTTTTCTTATTATTTTACTTAATTACATGTATTTGCATATGTAATTACTTATGATTGTATAACGTTAAACCGTGTTCGAAAATTATGCTTAATGAATGAATAATTTTTACTATTTCGTATTTATATCATACATATTTAAAATTGTGGTTGTTTAATTTTTGTTATATTTAAAACATACAGATATACATATATAATATATACTTTCATAATATAACTAAAACTTCAAAAGTACATTTTTAGTATTATTAGATTTGTTTTAATTTAATTTGTTTTAATTTAATTGCTATTTCTCTTAATCTGTTTTATTCTAATTATAAATGAAAAAAAGAAAAAATGTACTATTTTCTTTTAAGTTTTTTAAAATTTTACTTTAAATTTTCTCTTTGTTTGTCTCTCTTCCATACAGATGTTACATCGAAAATTTAATATCTCAGAAAAGAAGCAATTATCTTGTATATTGTATATAGCATAATATAAAGAGCATATATATTTTTTTAAGAATATTTATTTTATTTAAACTCTAATTATTTATTTTATTTATTCATTATTCTTTTCTCCGTATAATTATATCTTTTTTTGAAAACTTAAAAATATACGCCAATTCTTAACATCTTTATCGAAAGTTTTTCCATCTCAGCATTTCCATATTTCTGTCCCATAAGATTATTAATTTATTATCATAAATAAAAATTGCTGGCGATATTTAAATATTTCATTTTGAGAATTTTAAAATCAGCTCTTTAGAGATCGATCGCGCTAATCAGAGTATCCGCTGTTAAAATTTAGTGCAGTTGCATCCCATTCAAGAGATACTCTGCTTAACTCGCTTCCACGAGCAATCAGCACGCGTATAATAATTTCTGAATCAACGTGTTGTTCGTGTAACACGTGCACCGACAGTGCCTCTCTTCCTAGCTGTAGAAAGTTATGTGGCGAACGTTTCGCGTTCGTTTCACGTTCGCCATTCGTTCAGTCTCGATCCGGGATCCATGGCATGTTCGGTGATCACTGATTTGTCTTATTCACTCGAGATTAATGGATTAATTTCTCGCCTTAGTATTATCGTATAGCATTGGTGATCTCTTGTAAAGAGATATATATTATCGATCTTTAAGGCAAGATTGTTCACTTTATAAAATCGTGAAAGAAGAAACACGAGCGAAAATTCGCGCTGGACGATCGATCACTGATATTGCGGAAAGCTGGATAAACAACTTTTTAAAAATCCCGGTTCCAAATATCTCGAATTTGAGATTCTCGAATGAATGTGACAAGACAAGTATCAGAAATAGCTCGATTATTGTTCAAGCTGTCAGTGCGCGAGAGAGAGAAAGATGAATGACAATCGATCGCATGTGCTCGCCGATAAATCGTATGAATAAATCGCGCGATTCTTAAATCCATTGCGGACCTAATAAACTGCATCCGATTTATTTATTGATATCCAAATGATGAATATGGATTCAAGAATATTGAAGCGTTAAATTTAAGATTCGTGTTTCGAAATGTATCAGTGAATGTGTGTAAAGTCTGTGTAAAGGGATTATTTTCAAATATTTCAAAGACAACACATCAGAAAAAAAATCTTCATTTAAAAAGCAGTTATTTTTTTATAGCCATATGGGATATTTTCGAATTATTTCTTCAAGCAAGACATCATTTAGCGTTATAAGGCATCCAAACATTATATGTAGTATATTTCGAGTTTCAAATGTGGGACGAAGTCACGATTGTAATGGGACATATCTTCATCAAACGGAGACAGAAAAAAATAGACAGAGAGAGACAAAAAGAGTAGAGATAGAAAGGAAGCGAGAGAGGGACGCATCATTGAGTGGGAGGAAGTTTGCGATAAAGACAGACTAACTGAGAGGAAAAGCAGAGAGATCGAGAAGGTAGAAATACCAGAAAGAGAGAGAAAGAGAAATAGAGGTGGAGTGAGAGGTCTCTCGATATTAATCGTTTTATCTGTTGGACGAAGGGGCACCGAGCAGGACGTGGATCCTCTTCCAACGAAAGACACGGACATGTCGTGGCTGGACTCTTATTCGCATTTGACGAGTGACACGTGTTCACCACTCGCGTCTTTACGATTCGAGGGACGACAGCACGACGACATTACAAGACTTCGCTGATTACAACACGTCGTTTCATTCCTCGTCGTCATCGTCTCCATCCGCGTTTCTTCTCATCTTCCTTTTTTTTCTGGCGCTTGGCATTCACGAGCGACAAAATTGACGACGGATTATCCGAGGAAAAATTGTGACGACGTTGTTCGATTGTTGGTGACCGACCGCGAGCTGACTGGACTCGCGATCTCTTCATCTTTGTTCGATCATGGACGACGAAAAGATCAAGCTGTGAGTTCCTTTTGTGTTTCTGTCTTCGTTATTTTCATTGTGCGTGGCAGGCGAAAGACGTTGTCTCACGATTGAAAAAGCGAAAAAATCGACACGAAATCGATAAAATTGCACGAAATTATGGAGACGAAATTATGGAGACTATTATTTAATTTTGAAATGTGATCTGTACAACGCGATGCTATGTTAATTCGTTCAATTTCGGAGCCGTATTTGATATCTGTGGATATACTTGGATTTGTCACGTGCCTAAATTATTCCCTCGGTGCTTCGTGAATTAAATTTTGAGATTTCTAGAAGAAAATTGAAGATTTCTCTGTTAAAATTTTGTGAGTGGTGTGCAATCGATTGAAGTGATTTTTGGAAAATTAATCAATTGATCTCTTCAGAGTCATGTTCCACTCATTTCCTATGCTTTGATCCTTTATGGAGTGCTATTTTGAAATATTTTACGCGTATATTCTCGAAAGGTACACTCTCCTACCCTCTCTCAAATTCTAGCAGGAAAATATATGGAGCGTGATTGTGCTAATTGGAATCTATTGAAAAATAACGCGAGGAGAGTTTGAAAAATTATATGTCTGCAAATATATCGTTAATCACTGCAGTTTTTCGATAACACATTATCTACGATGATTCATAAGTATCGCATGAAAGGTTTCTAGACAATTTCCTTATTTATATCCAAAGTGAAAATTATCTTAGAAGGAAAAAGCTTGAGATCTAATTATTTTCAAATTATTAACAAAACTGTTTGAATTAACGAGAATTGTAATGCATTTTGTATTTTGTACTTTGCATCTTATAATTTTTAAATCTTATAAAATTCATGTATTTATGAAACATATATTGCATCGTGTCGAATACAATATTACGCAGTAGAATTTCTTGGAATATCCGATATATATGTCGTTATCGGAAAAAGATTATGAGAAATATTCCTACTGTTTATCGCGATATGGCAATAGCAGCGTCGTATAATCGTTAACGAGTCATCGTTCGACGAGACCCACCTGTTGACGTGTCGTCGACGCGAGAAAGCTTCTCCCTTCGATTTCTCTTTCCTCGGGCAATGTCTCTTTGTAGATTAACAAGAGTCGGAATGTGCCGGTGCGCTGATTGCCAAAATTACCGCAATTACTGTACGCGGCATGCAATATAGTTCTATAGTACGCAAACAACAAGGCCGCGAGAGATTCCCCTTCACTTTGCCGCACGCACGACAGGATCTCGAACATAATGCGAGGTCATGCAACCAGTTTAGCGAGAATTAATAAAAAGAAAAAAAAACGCACGGTTTTTTCCGTTAAGTCTGATCGAGCGTAGCTGTTGTGGGACAAATTTCTCGCGCGTAAAAGTGACAGATCAGCTGTTTCGCAAAAATTGTTTATGTTTGATCCGAGACAACGTGCGATTTTTTTTGTATAAAACGAGCAAATTTTTTTTATTTCACACTTCTTTTTAAATCGATTTTTATGTGAGATTCATTTCGTAATAAAATATTTCAAAATTTCTCCTATAAAATAAAATTCCGAAGAATTGAAATATTTTATCGAATCGTGGGCGAAAACGATCATCTCGTGTTGCCAACGGTAATTTTCGTGGAATTAGTTTGTTGTTCCATTTTCTGGTTTTTCCTGCAATATTTTTTTAATATATCAAACTTACAATTGTAATTTTTTATGATCTCCGCTCTTTTATTCATTACAAAATATTTTCTAATTTTTTGTAATATTAGATAGACTAACCGGACTGGTTTCGAATGACCCAAAAACATTGCTTCCAGTGCCTATGACACGTAGTGCCTTGAAATACTTTTTGATATTCATATCTCTTTCATGAATTTATATTTGTATTCATTCATTTATTAAATAATTTAAAATAAAGTAAAAGTATATTATAATAGATTAACTAAATTGATTAGGCGATTAGATGCACATTCGGTAAAAATAATATATATAAGATTTCTATGTATTCATCTAAGTTATTTATATCTATTTCTGAAGTTATATATTAAAGAAAACATTTTCTTTAAATTTATATTTAAAAAAGCATAAATGATCTTTTAAAAAAATATAATTTTAAAAATCAATAAGAAATATAATAAAGTGATGACAATTAAGTTATATAAATTTATTGAATAGTAGTATTTGATAAAATAATCTTGTACTATCCTCTTTAAAGATACACTGTCAATTAATTACGGAATAAACGATCGTTTAAAAAGTATCGCAATTTAATACGTTCGCGGTTCTTAGATAAGATCTTTCTTTCTCGTTGTACTACCTGTAAAACCGCATCCGTACCACAAATTTTTTAAATTGATAATTATCGATATTATATCGGGTCTATTACATCTTATAAAAATATATAAAGAAATATCTAATCCAAAGTTCAATCAGAATTGTGGGTGCGACTATATTATATTGTCCACTCACTTGCAGAACTTGTTCCGCTTTAATTTTACGAGCTTCATTTATGTCGAACATACTAATCCAGTTAAATCGATACGTTTCATTTCATGTTAAGTATCAAGCAACACAGCATTTGCAAAGCGGATATTTTTACAACTATAATGATAATGTCTTGTCGGGAGGAAGATATGTATGTCCACGTGTATGATTGCGATTGTACGATTCTGAGATGATCATAGGCGCGATATTGAAAAATGCACTCGCATCTGTCAAACTTTTCAGAGTAATTAATTAGAATGTTCAAAAAAGTATTCTCGTCTTCTAAACAATGCTAATGTATTTTCGATAATTTTTATGATTTTTACATTTATCTGCATTAAATACATTCAGATTTTATTTTTATTAAAACTGTTTGGTTTACATTTTTAGATTTTTCGAGTTTTATTAAATATTAAGGAATTTTTTTTAAAGAAAAGTAATAACTTTATAGAATTTCTGTTACAGCTTATGTCATAGTCTTCATCAGCTATTTTTCAGTGATTTTCTATAAAATATTCCATGTCGACGCCTATGAGAGCGATTCTCTCTCAACAAGGTTTTATTATTGTTCTTAGTATTAAAGTTCGTAATATTAAAGTATATTTATAATATGAAACTAATATGATGTAAGATAACGACAAGTGCAACAAAGGTAGCGACCGTCGTTGATTTAATACCTGGTTATATAAAAGCTCGCAGTGATAATTCATGTAAATCATTTGACCGCATAATATGATTCAAATGAACGATCTCAAAAAAATAATTTTTAACTTATTAAAGATAAATTTAATTTTTATATTTAATATAAAATAATTATATAAAATATTTAATATAAAAATTAAATTATATATTATATTTTTAATAATTGCATGACTAATTAATTATATTATTATATAATTATCTAAATTAATTAAATTTATTAATGGTAATTATATTTTTAAATATATATATATATATATATATATATATATATATTTAATTTTTTTTACTTATTAATTTTTATGAAGGATAAAAAGATTCTGCATTAATTCGCATTTTTAAAATATGAATATCTACATTGAATTTAATAAAATATTTTCGCAATAAAATATTTTCGATTAGTTTTAATATAAAAAAATCCAACAAAAAATAAAAAACTCCCTTAAGATTTTTAATATTGTGATATACATAAAAAAAGTAAATACTAAATTATAAAAGTTCAATTACATATTAGAATAAACTTATTGTAATCTCAGAAACTAACTTTAATTAATGATTTAATTAAAATAATCTATGCGTATAATAATTCAAGTATATTAATTATAAGTCATGTACATTAATTAAAAGTTTATTTAATAAAATAAAAATTATTTCTCTTCACTCTCTTTGTAAAATAAGAGTTAATTTTTTAATATAATAATTCCTATAACAGAGAGAGAGAGAGAGAGAGAGAGAAAAAGAGACAAATTATCTCTATCTTCTTCTTAATAACAAAATAACTATTTTGCAAAATTTATCAATTAGTATAAAAAAAGACTGTTGGTTCTATTGATTGGATCTTATTGGTTTTATTTAAAAGAGTAATAAATAGTGGAATTTTCATATAGCTGTAAAACTGATTATCACTTACATTAAGCAACAAGCGTGTAGGAAGAGGAAGATAAGCGGATTGAAATGGGGCATGCGTATTTCAAAAGAAATTTTTATCAAGACATATTCATCATAACTCTCAAGATAAATATCTCATGCGACCCCTTGCATTACCCTCATGTATCTCTTCTGAATTCAAGGAACTTTTAGATTACCTTGATTTAAGTCATTTACATAAAATCTGTATGGAAGCCATCTATATAAAAATCACAATCTGATCACGATATAATAGGTTTCTAACCGAAGGACACAGTTTCGAGATCAGATAGTGGCCTCCATGGAGACCAAGGCTATTTTATTAAAAGAATACAAACATTGTGCAAATTTAATTCGAATCTGGCCGCGAACAAAAATTTCGATTAGTAATTCGATGGTGATATGATGAGAATTATAAATCTCATATTTTAACAACTCAATCTCATTATAAAAAAAATAAAACTAATTAATTATTACACAATCCGCAGATCAACCTTAAAATATTTGAAAGCATTACACTATTAATTGATATACAAACGTATATATAATAATATTTTATATAAAGTTTAAATTAAATTCTGTAAATATCTCAAATTATTTAATTTAAAAAAATTAAATATATATATATATATATATATATATATATATATATATAATTTAGAAAAAAAAGAAAGAGAAAGATTCAGATCTGATTTTATTTACTTTCTTTGCACAGTTTTTAATATAATAGTGTACAAAGCACTGTCTATCGATAATTCTTAATCGTATGATTTTGCACACGGCATCATTTATCATCATCATTGAACCACAGCCAGCGATAGAAGACTGTCTGTGAGTATACACATGAATGATTATACATATGTTTGTGCATATAGCATTATCGATATGCAGTTGATAGTGGCCCTTTATAGAAAACGAGGACTGTAAGTCTTTTGTAATGTCACACCATGTTATTAAAGTGTAGCATTATCAAATGTGTAATATTATCAACAATACATATTATAAATTTAAATGTTTCCATCAGATTTATTATAAAATTAAATAATTAATACAATTATATAATTAGGATAAAATCTTGATGTAATAATAAAATGAATAATACTTTTTCATATTTTTTCGATTTCTTATAGATGTTATTTATAAGAAATATTTGTGGATTTTGTGAAAAAATCTACCTAAATTTCAATAAAAAAATTAAAAGAAAAATTTATACAAGTTAAACAAGTTGTATAGTTGTAGTTTAATAGTTATATACGCGAATCAAGTTTAAAAATTGTGTACGCGAGTCGCAGATTTTTAATAAATCTTTATTCTAGATTCTAATCAGCAATTGCATTATTATTTTTTTCATCAATATTTATATCATTTCTTTATCACACAAGCGTGTATACAAGTTATATCTGTATATAAATTTTATCTAAGAAAATATAAAAGGTATAAGATATCAGAGATAACTAAGAGATTACTGTGATGTGTCTCCATCATAATTTGTCGACCGGCAAATTAATTATTATCGATATCATTTCGATACTATACTGGAAAAAATTTTAATAAAAATAAAACTGACATAAAATGATGCCTGAAAGACGAAATTAATTATATTTATCAAGAAACTCAAAACAGATATTTAATTTTTCCTCTTCTGGATTTCCTCATTAATATTAATTTGTATACTATTATTCAGCAAATACGTAATCACTTTCTTTTGTTATATAACTTGAGAGAAATAGCGGACATGCACTATTTACGCGACAAGATCAGAAAGAAAGTAACAATATCTTTTTGATAAATAAGAAATAATAATCGAAAGTGTTCCGTCTCATAATTGAAAGCGTTAAAGTAAGCAACGCACACATTTATATGAGAAAGTCGTCTATTTTTCTACTCAAAATTCAACTTTTGATAATATTTAAATACAAAATAAAATAAGAAACAAAATTAATTTACAATGGATTACAGGTTTAAAGACAAGGCGATTTATGGCTACGGAACAAGCATCCCGCCTAACAATAATGAAGACGAGGAGAATGAAATGTCATCGCGGAAGGTGATTTTCTGCGTTCACGGAAAATTATCAGGCTGTTGCACAGTGGTGAAGGGCACTCTTGATGAAAATGCAGCTACGGATTATCAGCAGAATCCAAGTATGTTTAAAATATATTTTATTTAACAAATAGTTATGTGGTGATATTTAAAAAAATTAAAAATATCAGGAAATAACAATAAAAAATAATAATAATTAATATTTATAAAAAAATATTGATTTAGCAATTGTCTTTAAAAATAAAAAAAGTTCAAAAAATTGTTTGATATGATTGCTATTGTGTGCATCAAAAATTATTCAAAAAATTATTAAAAATTGTTTTATATAATTACCATTGTGTGCATTAAAAATTAATTAAATAAATAAAAGTTAGCAATAATTGAATATGTATTGAATAATATGTAATTAATAGTCATTTTAATATATTTCATGTGTTAAAGAAAGTTAATATATGCAGAGAAATTTCTCATAATACGCCCTTTTAAAATTGTAGCATAATATATATCTTATGCAAAATAATTGACATTTAATAATTATATATGAATTTAAATTTTTGAACTTTTTTAAATAAATATTATTTACTTCTTTTTTCTTTTCTTATAGTTTTCTTTTCTTTCAGTATCTCCGGAAGATCATTGTCACAGAGAAAGAAACGAGGAGATTGACAAGAAGGCCCGAAGAAAGTTATTGATTGCCAGCGTGCTTTGCGTCGTTTTCATGATAGCAGAAATAGTTGGTAATATAAAACAAAATTCCTGATGACTTTATCAAAATATAAAAGAACATAGAATGTATTTACAAAGGCAAGCAATTTTTAATCAAGTCATTTTATATCATTTTATCAGCGACAATTTCTTTTCTCAGGCGGAGTATTATCGAATAGTTTGGCGATAGCGACCGATGCTGCACATTTATTAACTGACTTTGCCTCGTTTATGATATCTCTCTTTTCTATCTGGGTTGCAAGTAGACCAGCCACCAGAAAAATGCCTTTTGGTTGGTATCGTGCAGAAGTAAGTAGGTTTCTTATATAAATATAAAAATGATAAATTTATATTAATATTATATATTATATACATAATATTATACATAATATTATATATACAATATATTATAATTCTATATATGCATATACAATTATTATATAATTGTATATATAACAATACTTTTCTATATATGTGACAAATTTTAAAAAAAGATATTGAATATAATCGATATTTTATGTACATTATGTATATTAGTAAATTATGAATTTAATACAGATAGAGATTAATAATAATATAAAATGTTAAAAATATTTATTCTTTATTATTGCTAATCTGTGTCTAATTAATTTCACTTTCTTGAAAATATTGAAAGTATATTTTTCATACTATGTATATAATTAAAAATTATTTTCATGTAATTTTAAAATATTCACGATATATATGGATTATATTTATAGAAAATTTGATAAAATTTAGTCACAGTGTGTGTTTCCGTAATCTATAACATATATATATATATATATATATATATATATATATATATACATATGTATATTTTGCAAAAATAATAGATTATTATTATACATGAAAACTAATAAATTTTTTTATATATTAATTTAGGTTATCGGCGCGTTGACTTCAGTTTTATTAATATGGGTAGTCACTGGCATTTTATTCTACCTCGCGGTTGAAAGAATCGTTCACAAAAACTTTGAGTTAGACGCGACAGTGATGCTGATCACATCTGCAGTTGGTGTTGTGGTAAATCTAGTGTTAGTGATATTAACGATAATATTTATTTAATGCTTTGCGCAGCTTTGCTTTGGGACTTTCACACACACACATATAATATAATTCATAATATCACATGCACGTTTGTTTCTAAAGTTTTGATAATAATCGGAATTATAATGTAACATCAATTGAATCATTCTCTAAACAATCATTGGTAATATTAAAGCAAAAGTAAATAATATAAAAATCTGTCTTTTTGATGAGAAATTTATGCTTTAAAAATGCTGATAATATTATGTGCCTACTAATTTAAAAGATTCGTTAAAAATGTACGCATATTTAAAATATATCGATTGTAGTAGAATTTTTGAAACTGCACTTGTATCTCTTTTCCTTAAAGAAAGACGTATGCAATAAATAATTTGGCATTGCAGAATGGGCCTGTCGTTGCATCAACATGGCCATAGCCACGGTGGCCATAACCATGGTGGGAACAATGACTTGGAAAATGTACTCGATGATGATCTCAAAGCGGAGAAAAAGAATATCAATGTACGCGCCGCTTTCATTCATGTTTTAGGTGATTTTATTCAAAGTGTAGGAGTACTCATTGCCGCATTAATCATTTACTTCAAGGTACCAAATTTTCATTAATATGTCATTTATATGTAATACTTTTATAATTTTTTTTACAAAAATTAAATCTTATTTTTTCATTATGTTATCTTTTACGATAAAAAGTTAATATTTATATGTATATGTGTAATTCGATAAATCAATTTAAATTACAGTTTTGCAGCTTTCTTTTAAAAAATACTATTACGTAAAATATCAATTTGTTTATATTTCAGCCGACGTGGAGCTTAGTGGATCCGATATGCACGTTTCTCTTCTCCGTATTAGTTATTCTCACTACCGTAGCGATTATTAAAGACGTAGTTAACGTCCTGATGGAGGGAATTCCCAAAGGTTTCGAATATTCCCAAGTGGAAAATACATTCATGCAAATAGATGGAGTCGTTAAGGTTCATAATCTTAGAATTTGGGCGCTCTCGCTCGACAAAACTGCCCTGTCGGCGCATCTCGCTATAAGTAAGCTCTTATCTAAAAATATAATCCAATATATATATTTCTTATTTATATATTTCACTTATGCAACTCAATTACTCTTGAGTCTTAAAATATCTTACTCAGGGGACGCTAGAAGTTAATATTTTTAGACTTCTAACATTTATATTCTTGACAGATCTTTTAGCAAACCTTTAAGTTTCAATATTTTCTGACTTAGAAAAAAATTTATATAAACTGTTTTTGATAAATTTCATATGCAACAATGTATACACCTAATTATAAATATTATTCATGTCCATTTCATCTGTTATCTGACACTTGTTTCTTATTAAGATGTGTAACGTTTAGGATTTAACGTAATGTTTCTTACAGAACCTGGAGCGAGCCCCCAGAATATCTTACGCACCGCCACGAGAAATATCCACGATAAATACAAATTCTTCGAGATGACGTTACAAATAGAGGAATTTAATGAACGAATGGAAAACTGTAAACAATGCAAAGCACCACCGCAATAAATCACTATCATTATTATATGCGGTATAGTCGTGATATAAGAGATGCGTGACTCGCATCGATGATAATAATAAAAGTCTCGTGATCGTTACGACACTTTATCGAATGAGAACGATGAGATTGTTTCATGCACGAAGGCAGTATATGTGCCTTCGTGCAATTACTTTGAACTCTTGTTATTTTTTTTTCTTTTCTTTTGGTCTTTTAACTTCGTGAACAAATACACGAATTCAGTCAATAACACTCGTACAACACATTATATTTAGATGTGAATAGTTTTCTTTGTTATTTTATTTAGATAAATTATAATTAGTTCTACTTAAGCTGTATCCTTCAATTATTATAATTGCAACAATTATAATAAATATAATAATAATTATTATTATAATAAATATTATAATAATAAATATTATAATTGTTCCTCGTATTATAAATGATCATGATTGATTACTTTCGATATGAATATTGTAATTAATATCAGTTTAAAAATGATATGTATATCTCAATAGATGTTTATAAATATTCAAATATCTAAGGCTATAAGAGCCAGACTCAATATGTTACCACAGTAACTTATAATTTCATAAAGAATCATTGTATATATCACAACATAGAGAGAGGAAAAAGAAAGTAAAAATAAGAGATTTATTCTATTAAGTAAATTTTCTCTGGTTGCATAGTTTGTAATATAGACAGATGAATGTTTATATTGCATAATTTTTATAATCTTTGCAAGATATTTTGTATAATATGCAAAATATTATTATAATTTAATGTTAATAATTATATAATGTAGACATACGCACATTTAGTCAAAATTCTGTAATTTATTTTTAAATCTATTCGATTATTATAAAAAGAATTTTCATATTTTAATACATATGTATTCTATTAGTTCACTTGATCCTTCGTTTCACTCGATTCACTGCTCTTTTCCTATTTTTTCTTGCCTACATTATTTTATTATTAATGATCAAAAAATTATCTGTTAAAGATCATCATAGAGATATATATCCGTTGTTTCTTATTTATTTATCATGTGTGTAGACAAAAAGAAAATTATGAATGAATTTATATACAATGCACAAGTTAAATTAGACTAGAATTCTTACAAAATGCATTCCTCGTAATTCTTAAAATGGACCTATGAAAGAATCAAAATATAAAAAATTTTTTTCTAAGAAATATTTATAATTTTTATTTTATATATATGTGCATATGCATATATAAATATAAAGCTAAAATATTGCTTAGAGTTCGACTGAATAGATATTGGTTTTATAAATTTGGATTTTTTGAAAAAAGTATGAAAAATTGATCATCTGATAATCTCCATTAGAAGAATGATTAATTTTCATTATCATTCTTAGCAAATCGCGAATGATGTAGTTTTCGTATAAAATTTATTAAAATCACATTTTCCCTGTATCTTATATTTAAGAAGTATGTAAGAAGAAATTACAAAGAAATTTGTGATAAATATTTCAGAAAATTAATTTTTTGGTATAATATTTCGATTTTAATATGCCGGTTTTAATATTTTAATTGATACGTAAAGGTGCATAATTTGTATTTGTATAATTTAATAACATATATTTAAAATTATAAATGATAATTTATGTATATAGTAACACGATACATAATCGCAAATCAAAACAGAAATTACATTTCACAACGATTCAATAAAAGTATGTACCAGTTAGTACAAATTAATTGATAAAGTGATTCGATTGGGACCAAAAAGAAATTGGTTTTAAACATCTTGTTATTTTATACAAGATGTATAGTAAATTGCTGCAAGTAAATAAATAATTTTTTACGGAAAGGAGAAAATATAAAAATATAAAATGCAATTTTTTTGCTAATTTTCGTGCGTTTTTTAAAGACTACTAATTATAAGAAAGATTACTAATTATAAGAAAATTATTATTTTAAATTTATAAACTATGTATTGATATTCGATTTATATGCCAAAAGATCTGTATAATCGCGTGATCAGACCGAAGCTAACAATATTATTGATACCTAATATTATAATAAATATATAATATATATAAATGCATATACTTAGATCAATAGTAATGATAAACATTGATGTAATCGAGTAGCACAATTTTAATTCTTGTAAATGTTTTTTTCATTTACTAAAATATAATAAAATAAGTATATGAGTGTAATTATTCTATGATCGATGCCATGCAAAATATCCTACGTATTCGGTATAATCCACATAATTATTGATCGTATTTTCGCGAATGAGTGAAAGAAAGCAAAGGATGTGTAACCAAAGAAAAGTAGATCTGGAAAACATCGGGCAACATACGGAGCATACATGTGCCAAATATACATATAATTTATATAAATTATCATATTTATATTATTTAAAATAGACATATTGCTCGTTTTTTTCTTTTATCTTATAATATGTAGAATATCCGACATTACCAATAACATGTTCAGCCTTGGTACCATAAACAGTAACACGTTAATATTTACATATTACGGTCTCGTTGTCAATGACTTGTCATTCGTATGGCGATTCTCAAAGAATAAAGTAATACATCTGAACGTGATTGTAATTAATATGGAAACACAATTAATATTGTAATTAATGATTATAATTAATGATTATTAAACTCTTGATGTACACGAAACTGTTCTAACGATAAATTTTTGTGAAATCATTTATTATCGCAAATAAAAATTAAAGAGGATAAAAATATAAATTTCATTACAAGAGCAAATTATATTTTTCTGCCATGTATTACCTGCGTAAAATTCCATGCACAGTATTGTCTGCAGTATATGAAAAGCGTCATCGACGATATAATGTGACTAAATATGATTGAGATATAAGGAAAGTAATATAGTACTTGTAATGAATAACGTTAATGTGGAATACATAAATATTTTGTAGTTCAGTTTCATGTAATTGAGATACGAGACTTTTATGATTAAAAATATGTCCACAAATATGTCGTTTAACTTCAGTAGCTGCACATTCGTCAAATGAATACTATTATGTTAAATAAATGCATCACAGTAGCTTGTTTTGATTTAAATGCATCACAGTAGCTTGTTTTGATTAATTTAATCTAACCTAACTAATTATATGCTCTTCATTAAAATGTATAAAACTGTACCATTGTTACGTCGCACATTTAATACGATTAATATACTATGTAATAAAATGTACTACATTAATAATTATAAATATTATTTTTAAAAGCATGAATAAATCCACGCAATATATGCTCGTGTTTACATTCGACATCTGGAAATCGACCATGAGAGAATCTTATTACGAATACTCTTTTTACGAATTCATCAATGAAACTTTTCATTTTTCACAAGCTCGCGAGTTCGATAAGGAAAATCACAAGTTCACGAGTTCGCCAAGGAAAAAGATTCATGATCGATTTCCTGGTCAGAGGTTAGACTAGGTTAGATTAGGTTAGATCGAAAATTATATCGTTTGACAGTTGGCATTCCTACAAGAAGACTGCGCCAGCACTGCGCGCGCGTATACAAAGTAAACTTCAAATCGCTTCTAGCCTAACCATCTTCACGCGATCGACTTTATTTGAATTGCATTGCGTCGCATCGAATTATGATGCGGCGCCGATTTACCCGATCGTAATTCGAGATATCGCGATGCTGTAGAAACGTCGAATGAGCATGAATTGTCACGCAAATATGATAAATCCAATCAACTCACCGTTCAACCGGCTGTTCCACAGGCCGCTCCTTCGCTCGCCTCGGGATGTCCCATTCCGATCTCGATGCACACAAACTCACACGATATCACCAACGCGAACGCGCGACATTTTATTCGGCACTCTCGATACTCTCTCTCGCATCCGATGATCATCATCAAGGGCGCGAATAATGCGTCGCGACTTCGCTTCATTTTTGCGATGACGCCATCACTGAATACTATCAAAAACAGCTGTTGCACGCTTCCATTGACATATTATAAAAGTCGCGCGATCATTCTTGGACAGTCTCAACACTCGTTCACTCGCGATATTCACTTATTTACGGTTAAAAGACGCGAAAAATGCGGAGGTACGACGAACTGCGTATGACTCGTATGACTCCGACACGTATGACGTAGGCAACTAACATGGCGGAACTAACATGGCGGCCGAACCGGTGCGCATTCGTTTCTGCGCATGGCCATTACTACGCTCAGTTCGCGCGACTTTGATTTCTGAATTTATTGTCTACGAAATCTTGATCGAATTATAATCATTAATTAAATAAAAATTGAAACAGAGGATACATAAAAAGGGACAAGAGAATTAATCATGTTATGATCTTTCGATTATTGATGCTTATTATAATATTTTTTTAACAATATTATAATTAAATATATTTCGAACAATGCTTTAAATTTTCTCAATCCTTGTTAATTAAACAATATACAATTTAATAAAAATTATTATTTTAATACTTAGAGTCACAAATATATTTCATTATAAATATATTTTATTCCGCGTTAATGTTTATTTTATAATATGTAAAATATTTTGGCAACGAGAATTATCAATAACACAATGTTCGATTTCAATATAAAATATAAACAGTAGCGCGCTATGTTATGGCTTTGTTATCATTCGCGCAATGACTCTCGAGTAGTAAGGTAGTGGTGAGAAACGCTTCGTATATTGTATGAATCATTAATTAATCAATTAATCATTAAATATGTAATTATTTTAAAAATACTTTGACAAATATAAAAATGCACAATGTAATGTATTTTTTTGTATGTATTTATGTATTTATTCTAATATTATAAAACGTTGACATAAATAAATAAAACAATATTAATAGGAGAATATTATGTAAATAATGTATAAAAGTAAATAATATAAATAAAGAAAATAAGTATATATGTAAGCAATATGTAATATAATATAAAAATATAAATATAATAATAATTTAATAATTTAATAATAATAATTTAATAATAATTTATAATATAAAAATATTTGTATGTTATATATTTTTTTCAACACCATTGTTTTTCTATAAATTTATCTATGTGTTCTTTTTTCTTTTATCATTATTTAAACAGAGAAAATATTTAAATATTAATAAGATTTAAATATTTATGCCTTTTTATTTTTTAAGATTTAAATATTCAGCCTCTAGCTATATATCTGAAAATTATATCTTTAGTCATGCGATTAAAGTCAAACTAGTTTTTTATTATATCTCAAATACAATCAATAAACAATAATCAAAACAATAATAATATGATCGATCTATCTACTGCTGTACCCTGTACCCCTGTGAGCAGAACTTTCCTAAACACAAAAGATGGCTTCCACCAGTAAAAAGTAAGTAGATATTTCTATGCGAATATATTCATTAGCATATATGAGTTAATTAAAAAATTTCTTCTTATGATAAGCTAACAAGATAATTATGTTTATTTGCAGATTAGAAGATTGCGAAGTATGCGGCACGACGAAAGCTAAATACACGTGTCCAAAGTGCGAGGTTAGAACGTGTTCCCTCATATGTGTAAATCGACATAAGAAGGAATTGGATTGTGATGGGATCCGAGATAAAACCAAGTTTATCCCTTTAGCATCATTTGCAGATTTAGATTTGCTAAGCGGTAAGATATTCTTCTTTTTTTTCTCAAATTTTCTCTTATTACAGGAGAGATTGCAATGTCCTAGAAACTTTTACAATATTGAACGATATTTGATTATTTTGCAGATTATCGTTTTCTTGAGCAAGCTAGTAGATTAATTGATACAAAGAAACGAAATCCAGAGAGGAGATACATACGTCCAATTAATTTACCAGTGGTAAAATATTTTTTATACGTATATATTTATGTATGTGATATTTTTATAAGAATGTAGCAAAATTGTATTCTTTCTTCCAGCACTTACATAAACTGAGATGCGCTGCATCATGTAGAAAAGTATCACTATTATTCATGCCACAAATCTTTAATCGACACAAGGAGAACACCACATTTCTCAATTGGAAGACCAATGAATTATTCTGGCGAATAGAATGGATTTTTCCACAAGCTCAAAATATAAAATGGATTATGAAAAGGTATAATAGTAAATATAACCCATATATATAGATATATATCTTAAAAAATAGTTTTTAAACAATGAGCAATAATTCTTTAATAAATATTCTCATTACAGAGCTTTGGATAATACAAGATTATCGACACTTGTGGAACAAGTTTTAGATCCAGTCTCTTTAGAAGATGAGAGTGATATTGAAAAATTAAATATACAATTAGCTTTAGCTGATAAATTACAATTTTATAGAGCAGCTGGATTAACTAGTATCAAAGTTCTCTTAAAAGCTGAGAAAGTAAAGAAAGCACATTCTAAGTAAATAAACATACATTATTCATAGTAATTTTAATGTACAATTAAAAATTGAAATTACATTTATAATGTAATTACTGTTTAATTGTACATATATAATTTTTTTAGTAAAAGATATCAAACTTTTTTAAATAATTTAAATAATTTTTATATTTAATAATTATAAATTTCTTTTACAGATTTTATGAGTTAGATCTCACACTTACATTAAAAGAAAATTTGGAAAATAAAACCATAGTGGAATTTCCAACATTTTATGTCATTATGAAAGATCATTCTGATATGTATGAGATTATAGACACTGGTAAGTATTATGTATGATTACATATTTATATTTTATTTTCAATACCAAATCTTTATGTATACATAAAATCATTTAGATGAGGAAACAAGTGATACAGAATGTAAAAATCCGGGAGAAAGAAAACGAAGAAAAAATGAATTTGACAAAAAAGAAAATCAGCCAGTGAATTATTTTTTCAATGATTTTTCGGAATCTGATGAAGAAAAATTGGATAACAAATCACAAGGAAAGAAACGTGTACCTGATTTGAATATACCTAATTATGAAGAATTATAGGTGTATAAATTGATATCTATAGAATATAAGAAATATTTATATACATATATGATCTTTATTGTAAATATATCTTTCACCATAATAGTTTTGATATAATTAAAACACATAGAAACGTGAATGATCGCGATTATAATACATTTTTTTAATTGATTCCTTTCCCAATAATAATATATATATCTGCACATCATCCAAGAATATTAGTGTAGTCAATAGTAAATATATCTTAAAATTTCCTAGGTCAAGATTTCACAGAGGATCACACACAAGTTATATGACTTAACAAATGTGTAGGAATGGGATAAATACAGTGATTCTCTTTTTATCCATGAAAAGAGATGCAATATATAACATTCTATTTTTTTCTCTCTTTTATATATTTGAGAAATTTATTTTTGAGGTCAATAAAATTTTAACGCAATATAATATTACCCTGAATAAATTAGGGAGAAGCAAATATATTACGAAAATATTTATATATTTTAAAAATGATCGCACATTATCTTATTTTGTCTTTTTTAATAAGATTATTACGAGACTCGAACAGAAATACGATGTAGTAAAAATTCTATATATCTATATTCATCTCTATATTATAACAAAATCTATTAATTTTTTTTATGCAATGTTAAAAAATTATCGAATATTTTATAATTATATATTTTAAATATTAATTTACTCTATTATATTACTTTTACAAACATAATTTTGATATAGATTAGTTTATAGATACATCAGTACAATTACATTTCCGAGATTTTTTGTTTTGAATATAAATTTTAACTTTTTTCTTTCTTATAAGTATAAGTGGATATTTTAAAATCAAATATTGTGTAATCATGGATGAGCTAAATGAAATATTTCTATCCCTGGAAATGAAATATCTTTGATAAGTAACCCTTTTGCCTTTTTTATTGTTTAACTAGAGAATAAAGAAATATAACAGGAAGACCAAAAATGCAACAAGGCCAGCAACAACTTTCACATACATCGATTTGCTATTTAGATGTCTCGCGTCTTTTTTATACTTCTGCGATAGCATAGATAGATTTTGCGTCTTTGTGTCCAACTCTGCGTAAATACATAATTAATGTTATTTATATATGTAATGCTATCAAGATACATATATATATATATGTTTATATTCACATTTTTAATCTTTAAACCACAAATTTAATCAATGTAGAACATTACCTGAAAGTACAGTACCCCTCTGTAAAACATCATCAATATTTTGTACCATAATTCTTTGCACATCTTGTAACTGACTGTTAAGGGTATTCAAATTTCTACGTGATCTACTGTCTGAGAAGATCTTTTTGGCTTTCTGGATATATGTATCTGGAAAATAAGTAAAATAATATATAGTATTACATATTTATTTTAATAGCATATAGTGCTATATTCAATAACATATTAAATCTGCTATGACATACCAAATTCAATGAAGGTATAAGGCCTAGTTACTGTATTTACACGTTTGCCATACTGAACATGAAATTCCTGCGCAATATCTTCCAGATAATTGTATGCTATACGTGTACTGTAATTTCTTTCGCATAATACTAGATAACATACTTCATTTTCGATTAAATAGCTGTAAATAAATGCGATATAAAACACGTAGACATATAGATCTATGGTATACTATCAGCAATCATTGCTCACTGGAAAAGATATGGTCCAGTTTCTAGGGTACATCTTGCCGGAGACTGTGGGCCTAGTTTTCTAAACAACATCTTCGCTTGATTCTGGTACTCTACGATATTTTTACCATCCTATAAAAAAAAAAAAAAAACAATGCGAGTTAATTAAATTTATTTAAGAACATAAACAGATTTTTGCTCCAAATTTTTGTTCGCTCGCGCAAAGTAAATTTTAAAACCCCGTTTCATCCTCTTCATGACAAACTTTTACGGATGCAATTACGCTTTCCTTAATGAGAATCAATTACGAAGGCAAAGTGCAAAATCTAGGAGCGAGGTGACATTTCATCATAACATATTTCTAACCTGTTCGTTATCCTGCATAGTGGCTGCCAGCGGCAGGCCATCCGATACTCTCGCGATTATCGTAAACAAGACCATCCTGTCAGAATTTTACCGCCGATTTTCGCGCAAGACGACACGAAAAAAGTTTTCGAGATCGCGTTGCTTTGCGACCTCCACCCTCCACAGGCCACTAGCGCGAAACTTGGCGAAACTATCCGCCGATGTGGCCGGATTTTCATCCGCGCGTCCACTCTCGACGTACCACGTCAGTCGATCGGTCGATCGATTCCCCGTGCAAATTTCCCTCGGATGCGAAATCGGCAATTTTCCCGTTCCATCGTTCTTCCTTGACCCGAAACAAGAAGAAAAAAGAAGGAAAACACTCTTGCTTGCTTACGTAGTATTTTTCAAACCTTGAAACGGACAGCGAATGCACCTTCGAATGGTGCATACGTGTCCGGAAACTCGTGGCGGGAAACTCGTCGATCGTCGCGATCTGGAGAACGTCCGAACGCGTCTTCGGGATCGCGCAAAGAAGCGATTATCGACGCGTACCGAGACTACCGGACCATCGCGCCCTTTTTGACAGGTGAACGTCAAGCGCGATGTCCAACGGTCCGTGACACTTCGTGTCATCCCTTGACACTCGCATCTGTATTCGAATCGGTCCGAACGATCGTCGCGTCATCTCGCGACCGGTTCGAGGGTGCGTTCGGAAAGTCTACTCGAAAGATGGAGTAGCATCGAACGGACCAATCGGGACGAAATAATCTTCGCTCGTGATTGATCGATTAGCCACTGCTCCACCAGGCGAATAGGATCTTCGAACGCGTCTGACTTTTGACGTTTGCGTGGGTAGCGCGCTCGCTACGGCCTCGCTCGCGTGGAAAGTCACGCAGCTCGGGGGTGAAGGAGGGAGAGAAGAAACTTCCTGACTGACGTGCTTGCCCGTCTATCTCTCTCTCCTTCCGTTCCACCCGTCTCGCTCCCTCGCTCACGACGCATGCATGGAAATGTCCGCGTACTCGTGAGATTCGGTTCGCGCGCAGCCATCAACGACGACAAAAACGACGACGTTTGTTCGTTCTGCCGGAGGAGCCCCAGACTGGTGGTCGGGAACGATAATGCGCGCGAAGACGGCAGCGCGAGCGACGATAGTTTAGGTGAGTGAACGAGGCGCGTCGAAAGCCGTTGCCCGACTTTCACAGCTGGCAGACGTTGGGTCGGTAGCTGGTTTTTCCGCGTCTCTCGGGACGCGATCGGAGGTGACCACCGGTCGTCGAGGAAGGTGCTTTCAGCTCGTTGCTCGATTAATCGCGCTCAGATTCTCGTGATCGAAATATCGTGAGGTATCGGACGAAGGATACGTCCTTAGAGGCGCTCTCTCGTTCGTCGAAACTTATGATACCATCTTATCGTCCGTATGTATGTATATATGTATGTATATCTGTGTCCTAGAGTCGTTTTATTGTATTTAGAAAACATATTGCAACATGTTCGAGGTATGTTCGACGCAAAGGAGCGTCGATAATTTTCTCGTCAACTTCTTCGTATTGTATAAAAATTCATGACCTATTTATAATTCACATCCGTGTACTGTCAGCAGCGTCGCGGTGACAAGTATTTCTCGAGACTAGATGTAACTAGACATAATTGATTTAGCTGATTATTACTTTGATTATTGTTCTTTTAAGCTGGTGATTCGTGTCAACTGAATCTATAGAAAAATATTGTAATCTCCAAAAATATACTTTTTACTGTAATTAACTTGCTATGTCCAGAATACAAGTAACATGTAACACTGTTAAATTATATGATACTGTATTAGCATATTTTTTGCAGCTTATTGTTTTGTTCTTACTCTTCGTTGAAAATGTATATTAGTATGTATATATAAATTTATATATTTTTTAATTTTTACAGATCTTAAAAATTGGTATAAAATAAGCCATACTGTCCCACAGACAGTACAAATGTAAGTATATTGATCTATCATGATGCGCTTGCTCTATGAATTAAGTGAGATGATTTATATAATAATATTATTAATTATATATATATATATATATATATATATATGTGTGTGTGTGTGTGTGTGTGTGTGTGTGTTTAATTATATAATGGTAAATATGCTGTGTCATTTTCGCTTCAATTCTAATTATTGTATAAAATTGGCAATGGCTTTCTCTGAAAACTCTTAGTATTTGTTTAGCCATTTGAATGTGCTTACAACTGGGTTTTGTAACATTTTATCAAAATAATTATTGATTTTTATTATAGTTTGCATAAGGTGTATGAAAAAAAAATCTGTGTAATTAGTCTAAACTCAAGCAAATTTTGGTCTTTACTTGAATTCTGATTAATAAGTATATTTGATCTGTTACCATTAGATTCTTGTAATAATGATTTTATACAAAACTGACTATCTCAATCATATCATTGTTCTTCCTGATTTTAATAAAGGGATTTATAGTTGCTGCTGCTACTATTATTTCTTACTCGATTATCGATCTAGATTTCAATTTCAAATTTTCTTCCGTGTTTCTTGTATATAAACTAGTTCATTGATAATTTATGAATGATTTGCTGGATCTGATTAAAACAGAAACACCAACATATTTTGATTATGCAATTGAATAATCCATTTCAGACCTGATGGATCTAGTTTGATAAGAATTAAGAAAATACATCATCATACGATTAATTATTAAATCCTCTCATTTGATATTTTACATAATTTGTGATACAGAAAATAAGTCGCAATATAATTTACAGAATACTGATATGTTGGGCCACTGGCAGGATCAAAATATGAAAAAGGAGATGCAGCAGCATGTTGATAATCTGACACAACCACCGCAAATGTATAATGTGTCTGTCGAAGGAATTAATAAGAAACATTCCATCAATTGGTCTAATGGACAGCAGGGTATCAACGAAATGAGTAATAAACCCAACACTGTGTCGAATCAATGGCACAATCAAAATTGCGAAGCCGCGATGTCTCCTCATCAACCCTCGCATCTAGTACAAACTAATAATGTAGATGATAAATTTAGTTCTTGGCCACAATCGGGTAATATCACGACTGCCTCGCATGTTTGGCCTCCCATGGTTACGCAAAGCGAGTTCGTATATCAAAATCGATTACAGCAGCAGATAGATAACAATTCATTTAAGGAAAACGTGTCACAAGATAATAGTAATACTAGGTTTGAATGGCAACAAATGCAGACAACGCCGCTCAATTATGCTCCATTTGGTTATATAAATCATGGTGTAGAAAACAAATCGCAACGTAATTGGCAGAATCATAGCGATATGCTAGGCCACTGGCAAGATCAAAATATACCGAAAGAGATGCAGCAGCATGTCGACAGTATGGCTAATCAAAGTACGCAACCGCCGCAAATGTATAATGTCGAAGGAATCAACAAGAAACATTCCACCAACTGGTCTACTGAACAGCAAAATATCAATGAAATGAGTAAATTCAACACCGCGTCGAATCAATGGCATAATCAAAATTGCGAGGCTGCGATGCCCCACCATCAGTCCTCGCATCTAGTACAAACGAATAACATAAACGATACATTTAGTTCTTGGCCACAAACAGGCAATATCACGACGACTGCCTCGCACGATTGGAAATATTCTAACACGCAAAGCGAATCCGTACATCCAAATCAATGGGTGCAACAACCTATAGATAATTCGTTCAAGGAGAGTGTGTCGCAGAATAATAATGGTGCTAGGCTTGCCGCAAACGAATGGCAAATACAGGCAGCGTCATTCAATTACCCTTCAGTAGCTACGACTGTGCCTATGACTATAGAAAATATTGTACATACGCCCAACAATAATGAACAGCAAGAGAATGAAAAACTGGCAGTGGTAACTTCATCTTACGATTCTTTTAATACGACGAAATCGAGCGACATTAAACCACCGATCGGAAACCATCATAATTTGAATTCGGTGACTGATAACTTACCGAAAAGTGTTCCTGGCGAGAACGACGATCGCGTTTTTGTTCCTACAGTGACAGAGGAATTATCTAGCAATTTCGGTCAACTTAATCTCGGAAACAAATCGGGGAAGCACACGGATTATTCAGGTGAATCGTTGGAAGTACACCCGAATCCTATGGAAGGAAAAACTCAAGCTGCTAATTTTAATGTTGGAAATATTCGTAGTAATCCTGTTCCTGACAATATATCCGTGTTGTCATCAGATTATGCGCCGAGCAGCATGGACAACACTTCTCATTCTATCGACAACCAACCAGCAGTTAGTCAAGATCATTCAATCTCGAATACATATCAAAATGTTACTAAGGTAACGGATAATATTTCACAAAGCGGATATGATCAATGGTACAATCAAAGCGCACTGGAGAACGCGTGGTACGGGAAGGATCATCATTCACGTCCACCCAAACAAAGGAACGCTCCCGAGCAAAATGTAGAAAACTATGAAAACATCCAACAAACGTCTGACTTTATAAACGTAGAAATCGTCGCACCTACGACTTTGCAGGAACGCGATATTTATGGTTCGCGCGATTCCATAAACAAGGAAATGTTGGACAACGATCCTAGGCCAAAAATAAGTCCAAAAGAAGGTGTGACGAATGTACGGGGTTTCAGAGAGGAGATAAATAATGTCGAAGTACCGGCGATGCAGCAGCAAGTACGGTCGCATCCGCCTCTACAAACGGAACAGATGCCGGACAATTACGAGTTTGCCTCGAACGACAGGAACACGTTCTTGGAGACTGGGGAATTGACGGATTCGCATCAGGAACATGAGCCGACGCCTCCGAGTCAGGACGACGAGAACGACGAAGTGCCTAACGATATCCCTTTCCTGCGCGAAGTACCGGGACAATCGAGCACCATGGATCCACGCAGAAACGATCCTACGGGTCAAGAGCAACACGTGCAGACCGGGCAACGCCTTTCCGATCCCAGGAGAAATGATCCTTCCGGGCAAGAGCAAAGTATACAAATCAGAAATATATCCGATAGAGTAGAGCGTCGTGATGTCCTTCCAGGTCAAGAGAGAAACGTTCCTCAGCTATTACGAAGTGATTCGGACACACTGGAACGACGGAATGATCCTTCAGGTAGAGAGCGTTCTCTTCCGCCGCAGCAGTCGCGAAATGACCCATCGGGCGAGGAGAGGTATCAGCCGCAGCCCCAGATAATGCTGGAGTCGAGCGAGACCCGCGAGGTGCTTGGCCGAGGTAACGAATCCGACGAAGTTACACGGCAGACTCAGGACGCGGAACTCAGACAGATACCAGGCGGAGCGTCTTCCAACGACGTTACGCAATTAATGCCGGACGATAGGACGCCAACGACTGGTAGTAGAGTAGTTACTGGTTCTCTTCCGGAGATGATCCTTCCTCCGACGATGCCGCAGGATCCAACGAGCGGCGACACGCGAAGCAAACGCGAAGAGGCGGTGGGCGCGTCTCTCGAGAACGAGACGATCCAAGTTTCCGCTTCGTCGAATCGTCGGGATTCTTACGAGGGCGAAGAGGAGGATGCGGGTTCTCGCGACAGCCGAGACGAAAGCAGAGAGAGACGACGGGAAGCCAGTCCCGATCGCCGACGATACGAATACGATCGGAAGAACGCATACTACGATCATGATCGTGAATACGAAGATGATTACTATTACGATCGTCGACGTGCAGGTGACAATGATCGTCAGTATACCGTCATCCCCCGAGATGAATTTAAGCGACGAGATAATCCGTATCGGGATGATGATCGTCCACATCGCAGTCGCGATGATCTGGATCGATACGGTAGGGAGGACATGGATAGAAGGGTCAGAGGAAAAGAGGACTTGGATGAGAGGGATGGCAGAAGGAGACTGCAGGATGATCGTAGAAGAGAAGATCCGCGTCGTAGGGACAGAGATCCGAGAGATTATGATGCGCGATATTCTAGGGATCCTAGGGATCCTAGGGATAAAGATTATATGGATCGTGAGAGAAGACGACGAAGATACGATGATTACGATATTAGAGATTCGTACAGAAGAGACTATTATGATGATCCCTATGGAAGAAGGTAAATTATGTGTAATCTTAATTAATTCTTATATAGCGTCTTAATTTAAATGATTAAATTTTATTTTATTAATCATATTATGCTATTAATCATTTCGATAAAAACAAACTTTCAAAATCTAAATCAAACATGTGAACATTATTTGACATTGCTCATATATCACATAGTAAAGATAATAGAAGGATAAAGATAAATAAAGATAAAAATGATATTAATATTTTTGCTATGCTCTCGAACTAAGCACACTATTACTTCTGTCATTATTTATTTATATTTTATGTTTCGCTGTATTCAAGCAAAATACTTATATATTTGATAATTTATTCAGTTTTGTTGAGGAATTTTTCTACTAATGTACAATTTTTAATATTTTAAAAGAATAATTATATATTTTCTCTTTTTATTATTATAATAATAAAATTTCTAAAGTTTGTCTTATTTTTTGAAGATTATTCTATAGCTTTGTTATTAATGTTATTATTTGATATTAATTTACTTTTATTTTCTTTCAGTTCTAGGCCTTCGAGTAGATCTTCCTATAATGACAAGGATCGCGAATATTATATACGTACAAAAGACCCTTACTACAACAGTATGTATCGTTAAAAATATAAGATATATGAAACATGTGCCTTTTATACGCAAATAACATTAAATATTTATTTAATATTTTAATAGTGAATGCAAGATATGGTGGATATGGTGCTCTTTATGGTAACATGTATTACGCATATATTGAGAATTTGCGTCAAACAAATCCTGCCCTTTATGCCGAGTGGTACCACAAATATTACGCCAGTCAACAACAACAACAGCAGCATATTGCCAGAAGTGTTGGCAATTATCCGGAGGATAGAGCCAGTGTTCATTCCGGCCGTAGTTCCTGCGACGATAGGTACACTCTGAAATCTATTTTTAAACCAAAAACGATTTAAAGAGAGTCAGCATTTTCGAACACTTACTTCAATGCGGCTCTTATAATATTCATTGTACATCAAATTTTTTCCAATCCCAAGTGCATGTTTCCACTCATCAAACAAGATATTGTATGTTCCGTATTTCGGATACTCCGGATGGACTGACAATCTACGGGAGCATAGTATGGCTTGTCGCAATTTTAGGTGAGACCAAGAGTCTCCTTTCGGTTCAAAAGTCTTAAGCTAGATGTTTTGAAGAATCAGGTTTCCCTTCCCTTTCTATCTAAAACTTAGGCCATATAAATATAATAAAGCTAAATATACGTAGAATGTGCATGTAGATTTATTCGTGATTAATTATTGACGAGTATATATTGTTATAATCTAAGACGACAAGGGAGAATACTTGTGCAACGTAGTGAAAACAGATTTGTAGGTGCAATTTTATTTGCACTAAATTTCCTGTAAATTTGTGCAACGTAATAAAAACAGATTTGTAGGTGCAATTTTATTTGCACTAAATTTCCTGTAAATTTTAGATGGAACATGCTTATTTTGTTTATGATTATGTGCGTTGATATTTTTTATAGTTTTATATGTATATACATAAAATAAGATTTACAATTGCAAATCATATATGTAATTTTTTACTTTAAAGAAAAATAATATTTATTTATTTATTTTAGAAATACTAGTGATAAAAGAACATTGCATGATACACATTTGGAGGATCCAACAATCATTTCTGCTCGATTAACACCAACCAAGTACTCTACATCTCATGCATATGGTATAACTTGTTATTAAACTTATAATTAAATTAATATTACACTTTTGAAATTATTATTTAATATTAAGATTTATTAAGACAATTTGAAATTTTATCTATAGGATGCTTCTCGATTGGATCTTTAGTACATGTTCATCCAAGCTATCCAGCTGATGGTGAAAGAGCTAAGGTGGACGTTTTTCGTGTAGATAACTTGCTCTCACATGATCCTGTCACACGTGATTTACGATTATATCCAGGACCTTTAATTAAGTAAGTATAGAATCTTGCAAAAATATATATAGTATAAAAATAATGTACATAACAACTTTTTATTGCAGTGGCGTAACACATAAGAAAACCATCATAGAATATTGCGAAAATAAAATTAAGAAAGCAGTGGTGAATGAAGAAATGATCGATCGTGCTTCATACATTTTGTTGTATGAATTGATGATTATGTTGATACAACAAAATGGGGTAAATATTATTTCTTTAAAGTTTATTTACAAAAAATTATTATCGCACAATATATATTAATCTCATTTAATCTATTCACAGAATGTCGTTGGTGTTGACATTGCTGGGCTTTTACTGCGTAACAAAGATGCTTACCCTCACGATACAAATAAAATCACGTCTCAGGATATAAAACGCAGAGAATCGCAAGTATCGCAACGATCTGGGGCGACGGGTAGCGACGGAAGTACTCAGGATATTTCCGCGCTAGCCGAGAAATCTGAAATTAAACAGCGAAAAACGACGGAGCAAATAACAGACGAATTCAGAGATACATTACTTTACGGGCGGGTTCAAGAAGCATTAGGTATAAGAGTTAGATAATAAAACTTTTGTCTTTTTTTATATATTTTTCAACATTATGTGTTGCTGATTTCTTTTTTCTGTATTTATTTGTAACAGAATATGCAATGAACGAAGGGCTTTGGGGTCATGCTCTTTTCCTGGCTAGTAAACTGGATAAACGCACTTACGCTTCTGTAATGACTCGTTTCGCGAACAGCCTACCATCACACGATCCGCTGCAGACTTTGTACCAGCTACACTCTGGTCGTGTACCTGCTATAGTCACAGTAAGAGTTTTGATACAATATGTATGTATTGCTTATCGTAATACTAATTATTTATTTCCTTTTTTTTACAGTGCGCTGCAGATCCACGTTGGGACGATTGGCGACCTCATTTGGCTATGATTATCTCCAATACTTCAGCCAATCCAGAGATTAATCGTCGGTCAATAACGACCCTCGGGGACACGTTATTCGCAAATGGAGATATATATGCTGCGCATCTCTGTTACATTCTCGCGCAAATCGATTTTGGTGCTTATGGAGCTAATGGAGTTAAGCTCGTGTTAATCGGTGCAAATCAGAACAAGCCGTATTCTGAATTTCTTACAATGGAAGCTATTATGCTAACGGAGATTTATGAATATGCTCGAAATCTTAGTGATCCATGCTTCACATTAGTGGATCTTCAAACATTCAAGTTTGATCTAATCGTGAAAATGGTGGACTGTGGATTAATAGAAAAGGCTCTATTATATATGGAACAGATTGCAACGAATATCGCGAACGACCCATCGAAATATAAAAAATCTTTCATCGAATCGGTTTACCTACTGGGCGATCGAATAAAATACCATGATCCAATCTATAAGGATGCTATTGAAGATGCTACGAATTTAACATGGCTCAATAAATTGACTGAGATTGTCGAAAAATATCAGGTAATCATAATGTCATTATTACTTCTCAATAAAAATGATGTACTTTATTAAATAAAATTCTATTTTAGGTTGAGGAGACTTCTGAGGGAGAAACATACGGTTCCCATACCATTGTAGAGAATCAGAAAATTCATGAGATGAAACAGCAACAATCGTTACCACCATCGGCGCAACAACAATGGAATACTATTCAACCAGAATATGGCGACGGACCTATATCAATGATGGAAGTTAATACTAATGAAATGCAATCAAGCTGGCAACCGCTATCTCTGCCCACGAATATTCAAGATACGTACGACCCGAATACGCAATACATGAGAAGCGTGGATGAATCCGCTCAACATCAACAGCCGCAGCAACAGGATTATTGGAATCAGCAGGCTTATTATCAAGGCAATTATGGAAGAAACGAGTCTACTAATTGGCAACAACAATCCGTACCAAACATGATCTCTGATCAAACTGAGATCAATAACTCGCAGCAACTGGATAAGTGGAATTTTGAGGTACATTAATTACAAAGAAAAAGAAATTTATATAAATCTTTTTCTAAAGAATTCATTCATATATTTTTCCTCACATATTTGTATTTTCATATTCTATTATAATTCGTTTATATCATTCCAACATTTCATCAGGAAACTCGATAAAAGTATATTTTCATTTAACTAATTTTTTTGTATCACCTGACTCAAAACATTGCAATTAACATTTTTCACCTGTTTCTTGATGCTTGCTCACCGACAGACGGAAAGGGAAGACAAAACGCCCACTCCTGAAGTAAGTAATTGCGGATTTATTTCGGATAATATTCTCGATCTCAAAGGATCGTCAGAGGCTGCCGGTATTAACTTATTACGACGTCGCCGTAATGTATCGGTGAAATCAAATTCACATGTCGCTTCTACATTTAACGATAACGATAATACTTCTGATAAAGTATCTGCAATCTTTGACCTATCCAGAGATAATCTCAATGTTAGACCTAAAAATTTTAACAAGAAATATCCTAAATTGAATACAAACTATCCGAAAATTCTACAAAATGACAAAACTTGTCCGAAAGATATTAAAATACCGAAACGCACAGACCCTGTATTTTCAAAACCACCGTGCTCGCAACCACCCGTGTTTCTAAAATGTAAGATTAAAAAAAATAATCCCTCAGAGGATAGAGAAGAAATAATTCAGAAAAAGCCGGATGAAAAAAATTTATCTTCGCCGTCACAGACTACAGATCTAGATATTCAGTTTAGCAAATTGCAACTCGAGTCTCTCGTAACGTCAGATTTATCTTCTGAAGCGAAAAAGAATCATGACAGCAGAGTACAGACTCTGAAACAGTATTGTAATTTCGAGGAGAAGAAAGTTATGAGAGTAGCTCCGCATATTCGCAGGAAGGACGTTATCTGCGACACGGTAGATGCTTGGTCGTACGGACAGAATATTTCCGAATCATCTAGATATAAACCATTAATTTTTGGTGGCACGTATCCAATCGATTTACCACTCAGAAACAATAACCGTTTGTTGGGAGATACGTCCGCTAAAAAAAATATGTCCTTGACTTACGACATTGATATTCCTACGAAATGCGACTAAGAAATTGCTTGTAAGCTCATATAATCATCTTTTTCTATTAAAGAAATAACAAGATTCTATATTAACATAATTGAATTTCTTTATATAAATATTCTATAAAAGAATTTTTTTTTATATAATAATGCATAAATATTTAATAAAATAATAAAATAGAAAGCAAAAGAAACAATTACCAATAGATATAACATAATCGTTCATATATTAGTTCAAATAAATTCAAATTTTATAATGTCAATATGTGTGAAAAAATATTCAGACATTCTAACAATATGAATACACCCATAGAATGTGATCAAATAGAAGCGCAAATTAGTCTCTCGTCGCGTTAATTACGCGATATTGTGTAGTTTTGCAGGATTTTAACATTTTAAGTGCTATTGAATGTATATAGATATATTGTTACTGTTGGCAACGAATGTATAATAAAGTTTTCTCACATAATGCACTTTCTTGAACTTCTTGAAATTATAATTCTTCGTTTTATAGTCACAAAAATATACAGAATATTGAAAAAAAAATTATCAGATTAGATAGCTTGTAATATAGAATGTTCCTAAAAGGTCTCGTCAAATTTTAACCATAGATGCTACGTATCAAAATAAAGCAAAATGTCCATATAAACATGGTCCGGAAATGCCTTCCTTTTGAGATAACACAGGGTGAAGTCACGTATCTTCTAGGTCTATTTGGTTCAATCACAATAGTGAATCACATACGTAACGTTCGACAATCCATGGTGCGACGCTGTGGAGCGTGCATTGCTGCTCATGGTGGTCACTTTGAAGATCTAATCTGGTGCAAATCATTACTATAGTGACTGAGCCAAATAGACCTATGAAGATATCATGATTTCACCCTGTTATCTCAGAGGGAAGGCATTTCGGACCTATGTTTATATGGACATTTTGCTTTGTTTGGATACGTAGCATCTATGGCTAAATAAATTGAAGGAATTAGGCTCTATGTGTATTTAAACAACATTATAAGAAACGAATAAGAGCCACTGCGGATGGTAATGCGTAAATTTTTCTTAAAGATTAATTGTTCGCGAAAATTTAAACGTGCACGAGGCATATGCACATGTTTTACTTGGTGCATTTACCAAGATATAGATTCTCATTTTTGAGAATTCTATAAATCCTCTTTACACCTTCCCTGAAGAGATGTAAACGAGAAAAATATCGGGTCGAAGTCGCTGATTCGGGAATCGAACCCGAGTCTTTCGCTTGCCGGGCGACTGCTCTTATCACTGAGCTATTCAGCCCCACACCAATATCCTTCTCGTCTATTTGTTTATATCTATAGAAATAATGAAACGCGATCTTTTCATGAAGAAATGTAGACGAGAAAAATATCTTAAAGTTTGACGAGATCTTTTAGGAACACCCTGTATATTCGCGTGAAAGTGAGTGAAAAATGCTTAATCAATATATAACAATATATAACATTTTATCAGGATTATAGAAATTATTTTCGATTTTAAAGAGAATGATGCAGAGAATTATTTGTTTCTATTTATGCAATGTATATGAGCATAAGTTGTGATATTTTTGCTTTTTATTTTATGTTCTTCCATTCCCAGATATTCCACATTTTTGCCATGTGTGCGCTTCTAAAAATTTTTTTGTTCACCTGTCTTCTATTCGTTAAATCTAACGAATCTTATCTATCTTATCTATATTATTTATCTTATTAAGATCATCTATGATTAATATTGTTTCGTATACAATAAATAATAAGATAATTCTTTGTCTATTTTCTACATATTATAATTAGAAACAAATTGAAGTCAAACCCATATTACCAAAGTAAAAAATTATTTCCAATTTTAACAAAATCTTTGAAGTCCTGATTAAATTAAGCAACTTTTACTCATTTTAATAAATATTACGTATCCTGGTAAGTTGCTCATCTACATATTCGACATTCTGTTTCCTAATATGAATCCAATTTCCTGTGTATTTCAAATATCATTGTTATGAAATGTCATATCTTAGAGATAAATTTTTTAGGTAAGCAAAGTTTTTCATTTTTTACTGTAATAAATTTGTGAGTTACGTATATATATTTCAGTTTAAAAATATTTCGAGTGCGGAGAGTTTCTCAAGCTTAATATGGCATGTTAGAACTCGCATTGTTACAGTAATTAATGATAAACTTTGCTAGAACAAACTTGCGATGATCAATTGTATATTTTATTTCAGTCAAGTGTGCAGCCAGCCATCTCTATGACACCGTCGACGGGTAAGCAATACGATCCGTTGGAAGAATTGGACGCGCTCGAGACACCACGAACGAACGCTAAACCTTCGACGGAGATGAAGAAAACAACCGAAAAGACGGCCGACAAGAAATCCGCCAACAGCGGTTCCTGGTTCGGTGGTTTGTTTAGTAAATTGGCGCCGAAGCCGAAGAATCAAATGATATTGCCAGACGATAATAATCCAACGGTAAGAATCTATATTATTATGTCCGTCCTGTCTTTTTTTATCACACTAGGTAGAAGTTACGATGGACGGTTTGTTTTATGTCGTTAAGGGCTTGCGCGGATACTTTTGGTAATAGAATGCGCTACTCTTACAACAATGATTATAAGATGGACGATAAACAGGCCAGTATAATGCAGGATTTCTTTTTAACTATTAACTATCGACTAACTATTAATTATCATTAACGTTTTCCTAATTTCGTTTGTTAGATTTTTTTCCTAACAAATGAGAGAACACAAATGATGAAAAGAGAGATGTTATTTATATAATCGACATCCGTTTCAAATTATTCCAATGTAAACGATCCCGCTGTCTTTTGTATTACAGATTGTGTGGGACCCAGTTGCTAAGAAGTGGATGAATAAAGATGAGAACGACGACGGTGCCGCAACGTTGGTGCCACCGCCGAAGACATCCGACGTCAGTTTTCGAGCCCCCATGATGATGGAACGCGGTGCACCTTCCCAGCCGCTTCCACCGAACGGCGAAGATGCATCGACGATGGATGCCACTTTGAAATTACCCACCGGTAATGGCAATATGTACAAACTGCCAAAGGGCAGGAGTATGCGTGCCAATTACGTAGACGTGATGAATCCCGGCGTGGGGAAATCCAAGATACCTGGCACAGCGTCGTCTACCCCCATAACATCTCCGCTCGTACCCATGGCTACTTCGTCCCCGCAGTTGTTCGTCCCCGCGCCAGGTAAATTGCTTTAATTATTTTCTTTGATCTCGTTCGCGATTCTCGCTTTTTCTTCGAGCTATGGCAGATGCTTCAAAACTCTGAAAAAATATACGTATAGCTAAGAATGATATGAAAAATTTATTAGAAAGTAACGTTACCTTTATTGCGACAGTTAACGATTCAACCGCTCCTGTGGATTTCTTAACTCCGGCAGCAACACCACCATCTGGAAACATCGCGGAGAATACGTCGCAAGCAGTAAGTTTTCAGCAGTAGATTTATGTTATTTTAAGAATACCGGACTATTTTTACACACATATACCAATGTTACGAAACATATAATTAAACAATTATAGTTTCTCACATACATATACGTCCCATCCTTAAACTCACAGTACTTTTGTTATCCCTACATTATGGCTGCAGTTTGCTGGTATGCAGCTTTCTCTCTCAGCGTGTCTTTGAAACTGTAATGTTAACATAATTTTCCTGCATCGATCCTTTCCTCTACGATTGTATTGAATTATTTGTATACCTTATATTCGCTCCTTTTGCATACATTATACTATTTTCTCAACAATCTCATCATAATCTCTTTGAATTACTCGTATACTTAGCTTCATTTAAAATTATCGTGTATAATTATATACTTATCGGAGATAAATTATATAGATTCGACGAGATATTTCAATCTATGGATTAAAAACTGCTCCAGCACTGTGCAAGTCTTTCTTATTTAAATAGGCAATCTAAATGATTAATAACGTAAATTAAAATACATCTTTCTATCGCTTTTTACTTTAGTGACAGTAATACCTAATTGAACCTCCCACGTTGCTACAGATATTCTTTCTTTCATATATGTTTTAATCTTACCCTTCTTTTTATGTTCCTTTATGCAAGCAGTCGGGGAAGCCAAATGATATAGCCAAATAATAATTATTGCCGATAGTAAGGACATTCATTTTATTAATTTTACATATCATTATTTGATGTTTCGGGCACGCACGCGCGCTTTCTTACCCACCGCTTGCAAGAATATAATAATATATAATAATATTTGTATATTGCTTTCTTGCGTAAAAAGATCGTCATGTAGCATTTCATACAATTGAAATTAATTGTGAACGCTTTGTGTGATTTTAATTCACTCTGCATGTGTTATCGCTTTGTTACTAATTTTATTATTGTATAAAGTATAACAAGCAGAAAGTTAGTAATAAAATAGTAATAACACTTGAATAAGAAAAACTTTATGTATATTTTTTATAAAATATTTGTGTGTATTTACACCGTGATTGAAGCATGAGAGAAAGTTCTTTTGGATTTGCTAAAACGCGTCTAGTTACACGAGAACACAAGTCGCATAATACCGATTTTTATTTTTATCTTTTATATCATAAAATGTAGTAAGCTCTCTTTGATGCTTTATTAGTTTATTAAAGCGTTACGTAAGAAAAATACAATGTTTAATCGCGGATAAATCGGTATTATTGCTCAAAGGTATATAAGATAAGATTTAGTTAGTCACCCAGCGACTTGGTGAATATTTATTAGTGAGACAACATTGTTATATGGCATATAGCTCTCTCGCTGGAGCTCGACCAGCTCGTTATCGCGAGAGGTGCAGAGCTACACAATGAGGGATCCGCGGCTTCTTCAACGGAACAAGGTAATCCAGCGGCATTAACTTTCTCTGCATTTTCAAGGTGATACTTTTTTTCAAATTATTATTGCAAAATGCTACGCTAGTATGATCTCTTCGGACTAATAAGTTTGCTCGTGCGCCGAATATAAGACTTTCGTCATAACTCTTTCAATGATGCTTCTATTTAAAAAGTTAGCTTTTATGCTTATCAGTCACTGTTAATCACTTATTCTCATAAAATCATTAATCGTAAGCTTGGTGAAGGATCATTGGGTTCAAGTTCAGGTCTTAAAATAAGTTTATTCGACAATCAATTTCCCTTCCTGTTATATTTATTATTTAAGGTATACATGATTATTAATTTATGTTACATCTTCTCATACTGTGTAAAAAAGTGTAAATGTGAAATTTCAGTGACAGAATAAATAAAAATAATATATGTTTCTTTACTGCTTATATATGTGCATTACAGCTAGAATAATACAAATAATGATTTTAAAATAGGCATTTCAAAAATTTTAAACGATCAGAAAAGATTTACTTTCATCTCTAATGCATTATTATATATAATGTTAACTTTTTACATGGTATACCTAATTTTACATGCTTTAAACTGAGAATAATTTCTAGGGACCAATGATGTTCAACCCGAGTGACATGAAGGATCGTTCGGTGAAGAACATACCACCTAGCAGATATCCTCCGCGATAATCTTTGCTTATATAGATAATTTGTTATTAAAATTAGGAGATTTTTTTTTCTCATCGTCTTGCGCAATTGTGTTTAATATGGATTTTTGTTCTGTAAAACGTGACAACAACAGTACATTTTTTAGAATGATGCTATACGATGCACAGTTCTCTTTCAAAAGAATATATATACCTAACAACATAAGAATTCAAAAGACATCATTCTTACGGTGTCCTGTACATTTCGTTGTCTAGATAGATTTTTACATTAAATTTTCGAATTTGTCTTATTGTTATATTTATCGTGTCGAATTTGAAATTGCATTGAAAATATTCAGAAAATATATATATATATAAGATTTCCATATAATAGAAAAATATACAATTTAATGGTGCAATATGATGGCAGAAATAAATAAAACTCAACACTATACGTTTTGTGATTTATGAATTAGAAGTTTTTGCATTTCTTATTGTAAAAAAGAATATGCTTTTGTGTTTGATAAATTTTCACGGAATGTTTCATGCAACGAATTTATTTGGAAGTTATTAGTTTTCGCGTATTTTTAGAAACGCGCATTTCCATCAAATGATTATTGCTGCATTTGCGTTATTGCATTGAACGGGTCATAATCATGTTATGTTGAAATGCGCGAGTGCATTCCCAATATTATTATATATTATATTCGCTTAGTGTGTAAGTATTATTATCCTATAATCGGATTCGATGTCGCGCGAAAATTTCAAGTTATGTGCGTGCTTTGAATTATGCGAGTGAGATGTAAAGAAATTTTTACCTGCAACTTGCAATCACTGACAGATTTACTTAAGTTACACATAGTCCTTTTCATTGAAGAGTGTCTTGTAGATGTACGATAGGTAGAGCGAGGATTGCGTAGCGTATAATTGTAGCTTAATTATAACAGAATTTGTTACAATACGGCCTCGTTGGTATATGTGCTGTAATACTAAGTCTGATTTTATATATCAGGAAAAAGGGAATATTGTATGCAACGCCGGTGAATGCAACATGTTAGGAATATGAAAATTTTATCGATCGTAAGAACAGGGGAGTCGCGTTTACGAGAAGTGTATAATAGAGAAATACTGTTATTAAATGTCAGATTATATATTATATAATATTAATACATCAATAATACGCAACTGCCATCAACGTGGATAGTGCGAAGAGTGATGAAGAGCGTTTGTATCGCGTTTCCCATTGCGTTTCAATCGCGTTATATTTATAAGATATGCCCGTTGGTGTCTATCTCCACGAGGGATTCGATAATACTAGAAGGTTGTGAGAAGTGATGAGAGATGCATAGAGAGAAAAGCATCTTAGCCAAGGAATAGGTAATCTTAACGCTCTTCCGTATACGCTGGGATGTTTTTACTTGAAATATTAAGTATCTTGGAATATTCAATTTTCAATAAACAGGGTGAACTTCACACTTTAGTGAAAGTTTTGCTTTACATGATTCGAATATTATTATCATTATACGTTTCTTCCTATCTTGATGCATATCCGAATACCGTTCATGGAAAATATGATTATAAAAAAGTTTTATTGAAAATATTATCTTCTTGATTCGTCTCGCGATTTTTCTTACTAATAAATTTCTTCTAAGATTCTGAAATAAAATTCAAATTTTCGACAGAATCCTTCGGATGGTAGAGCACATTTCTAGCATATAAACGTCCGATTTTTTTGCCATTAATCACAATTAGAACAGACTGGGAGATTTTTGTAAATTGTGACTCGTAATACATTTTTATATTTATGACATATGTATTAAATATATTGTAAGTAGACGCATATATATGTATATGTATGGCGCCTACACATATGTGTTGCAATATGAATATTCAAAAATGTAATATTATTCGTAGTTGATATATGTGTATTATATACGTGAAGTCTAAGATTTGTACATATTCTAAATGTAGATTTCATAAATTTGTCCTATCGTCACATTGGAGAAATATTTATACAGAATTCGCTTGCTTTCTTTTTAAATATCGAGACAGAAATTTAACGCGCTATACTTTCGCCTAGATGAAAGAGAGCAACCAGAGCTGCCCTATTTGTGGTAAATGGCAATTAATATTTTCACTAGTATATAATTAAACAGTCAACTTTCGTTGAAAGTTTGCGTAGCAAAATGCGCCAACGCGTGTTACACACGCTTTTAATCTTTACACATGTGTAATAATGTAATCGAGAATTCGGGCGAGAAGATATGCGTGCAATTGTATAAATGCGAGACTCTAACGCTTTTCTTATTTTCTTTTTTTTCTTGAAATAGTTTGCTGTTTTTTTACGGTGAGATATTAGATATTATTAGCATAAAATGAGTATAATTGGTTCGCCCAAAACATTGATATTACAACAGAATGACTTAAGCGAGGAAAGAGAATTTTAAGATTAGCGTTAAAGTTGAACAGAAGTATTAATCGAGCTGTAATGTATGTATAGGCCGGTTTACGAGCGACACGATTCATCTTTGATGTAATATATAATATATATTGCTATATATACGCGCGCGTTTACGCACTTTCCAATTTACAATTGGTGTACGTTTATGGGAACGGATTATAATGATAAATAATATAACATAATGTATACTGTATATTATTAATACTACTTTACTCGTATACATACAATACATATACATATACATACATACATACATATATATATATATATATATATATATATATATATATATGTATATGTATATGTATACGTATACACACACACATACACACATTACTATTGATATTATAATAAATACAATATCAATCGAAATCACGTGTGCATATGTTACGACGATTTCTTAATAATTACTAGGATGTATCGGGATACGAAGGGATGAATATGTTATAGTCGGGCTTATTATTTTCGATCCTTTTATTAAGTTTATCATAATGTTTCGAATCGATACAATGATTTCTGTGGTATACTCAACTGTCGTCTTTCGGGCCACAACGTCGACGATCGTCTCCCGCACACACGGACGCTATACTCTGAGATCATCATACGCGTGTACACGGAATCGGTGACGAGACGTCGCGCGCGCGTCTCCGGCGTAAAGAGAGAGAGGCGCGTGTGCGCTCGCTTTTCTTGACCAACACGAAGAAATCAATCCAAAAATATTAATATCGTTTTCTGCGGCGCACGATCATCGGGACAAATTGGTCGAGAGTCGGACAGACGGAGGCGGGAGGAAGATGAGACGGGATTATCGGAGGGGAGGACAGAGGAGGAGGGCTTTTTTAAACGACGACAGTTAACGCCGTGACACCGACGAGACACTCCGAGAGGCGAAAAAGAAAACGTAAATGCATTTTAACAATCAGTGTTTATCAGCGTGCAGCGTCGAGCGAACGACTCGACCCCCCACCGGCCGTTATTATCTCTATATATTTTGCCATTCCCTTTTTTTTTTACGCCCTTATCGCATGCGGAAGTCGGAGAGAAGGATGACGGAGAGGGTGAGAAGAAACGGAGGAGACCGGGGGAGACGTGGGAGAAGAGCGCGCGAAGGATATAAATATATAATAATATCTTATACCGCGTGTGTGTATATATCCGTAAATACGTTGAACGTTATTTCTTTCTCATCGCTCTCTCTCTTTCTCTCTCTCTCTCTCTCTCGCACTCACTCGCTCTCTTTCTCGCACATCGCGCGTCGGTATTATTGATCTGTATTTCTTTTTTTTTTATTTTTATCCTTTTCGTTTTCTTTCGTGTTCTCGTTTCATTTATTAAATGTTAGGTAGAGCCTATAAGGGACACCCGGAGGCGCACTCACAGTGAACCTCGGGCGCGCTTTTCTCGTATACTAGCTGTGCCGGAACGCACTTGTACTGGTCGCACTGATCGGCGAAGGATTCGGCTAAAGATAGCGTGGCCGTCGTCGAGAGATCGTATAGTATGTAACTTTAAACAATTATCCGAGAATCCATTTGCTTACGGCTAAATAGACGGTTATCGGACAATAATTACGCGAATTAATCCGATTACGATCCGCGAATTATGATTAACAGTTTCATATTGTCGCTTCGTACTCGTGTACGTGAAGAATGGGAAGTAAATAGAAATAGATATTCGGATAAATACATTCTCTTTAGAATCGCGTTATGGAAATTAACCGTACTCGCAGAATTATAAAATGCATCTCGTTTAGTGATTAATTAAAAAATATTTAATATAACACTTGTGAAAATTAAATGAAAATAGATTGCAAAAGACAAACGATGAATTGCGGAGAAAATTACATTCGGCAGTCGATCTTTAGCCGAGCGATTCGCTCGCGACATATTATTTAACAACAGAGTTTAACCACCTAATCGTTCGGAGGATACTCGTAACTCTCGTCTTGACTTTGTTTATACAATGCGAATGGGATATCCTTTTTTCTCTCGTTTTTACCTACTTACTAGGTAATAAACGATTCGTTTTGCAATTCATTATTACAATCGATAAATGATAACGAAAGAATTATCGTGATATTTGAACGATAAGGTATGAATATTTGAAAAAAAAAGAAAAGTACGTCTCTTCTTTCTCTCTCTCGAGTCGACATGATAAACTTTAATAACCCATAAGAGCAGCGATACTTGTCATCGTCATAATGATACAATTACAATGCGATTATCACAATGCGAGAACCGCTAATAATAGTAATAATGATAATATCAATGATAATAATAATATAATAATAATAATGGCAATAATAATAATTACGAATAAACTAAAAATAATTAATAATAATAAAAATTTTCGTTATACACTAATTACCACCGTCATTACAATGATGCACTTATGCCATTATGGTTGCCTATATATACTATCCTCTTTTATATATACTTCTATATATATATATGTATATATATATATAGCTACAATATATAATATTTTCGTGTTGAAAAATCGTATACATTAGTGTTGTGTCGCAGGACCATTGCTTCTGTCTCTCTCTCTCTCTCTCTCTCTCTCTCTCTTTCTCGCTCATTCTCACATCTTATTTTTCTCTCACAACAATCTCTTATGTATATCATTCTGCTATATATTTCTTTTGCTCCTGATAGATCGCAGAGAGGGATAAGGGGGAAAAAAACATTGTCGTCGATGGCTGGAAGCATTCGTGTAGGTGAATTTTTCAAAAAGTCAAAACGGATCGCACATTTGGAGAAAATTGCATCGGAGAACATCGCCGTGGAACGAAGAAGATCCTCTCGCAGGCCGTAAGTTTATGGCATTTTTCGCGTTTACGATTAAAAAAAAAAAAACGCAATTTCTTACATCGTAAAAAATCGATAAGTACGAAAATTCAGTGCTACTGGCAAGATTTGCAACATACGACTATATTCCTTAGACTCTGAGATGGAGAGGAGGATTCGCTCTTCGCGGTTCGCGTTCTCAGATTTTATACTCGTTATTGATGTAATTAAAACCAACGAAAAATTAACACCAACAAGAAGAATGCGCGTTGTACACGAATGTGTGGAGTTTCGAATTTTTATGCGCTCGATATCCCGTTTTTTATTCAAAGAGCCCCTCGTAAAGATAGACACGCGGGCAAAGAGCGGTATCTGAATAGCATCGGCTGGATAAATCCTGGCGGGATCACGAGGGGCGAGAACACGAGTACCTCCAGACACGAGCGCGTTATGTAACCTTAATAGCTTAATATCGATTTTTAGTTCGTATTACCCGCCGTTCAAAGGCGGGCCTCGGATCACAGATAGTGAGGTGATCGGATTGCGCGAGCATTATCGCGTTAACAATGCGGTCTCTATTCTTTTTTTTTTTTTTATGCTCTTTCTCTCTCTTTTCTCACTCACTCACTCTCTTTCTCTCTCTCTCTCTCTCTTTCTGTTTTTAAGTTTGTCAGTATGCGTTCTTCCTGCGTTTCTCCTAAGGATTTCAAGGCGACAGCTCCTGAAAGCAAACAGCATCCGGCCGTGTACGCGCGCAAACTCACAGTAGCATGAAAAAGATCGTTCCGAGAAGATTTGCAAGAGGAATCGTCGTCGAAAATCGTAACAACATCCCGATCCGATTCTCGCGAAAATAATGTCACATATATGTAACGAATTATATAAACAAATTGTTTCGTTTATTCAGAGAAAATGCTACGACTTAGAGATACTTTTGAGCGACCGTATTCGCGCGCGCACGTCCGATCGAGGGATATCTTTTTTCTTTTCTTTTTTTTTTCTTTGAAACGCAATCCTTTAATCGATTCGTTAATAACAACAAATCTCTTCCTTCCCGTCACACAGAGTGACGTGCGAAAAGTATATAGAATATATATATATATTTTTTATACACATGTATACGTATACACAATACATATGTACCTACGTACGTACGACCAACTAAGGGTAGACAGGCGCAATCGTGTGTTTTGTGGATCGAATCCGATCGATCGGCCGCGCTCGAGGATTGCTCGTCGACGTCAGAATCGCCTGGGCTATCTTTTCGAATCGCTGCCAATTTCGAATTCGATGCTCCGTGTATGCATGTTTATATGTATGTATGTAGGTGTGAATTATGTATGATGTATGTCGAGTAATGAAATTAACAAAGACGGAGAAGTACGTGGCGGATAAAAACAAATCTTGTTGAGATTTCGTGCTCGGTAGCATAATTAGAAAAAAAAAAATGGGAGGGAGAGCGAGAAGGAGAGACGAAAAGCGGCTCGTATTTTCGAGCTCGCTCGCAAATACGGTCATGCACATCAATTTTCTAACGCAATCGCGGACAGCGTTTCGCATTGCTGGAATCGAGAATACGAGCGGTTTAAAAATTGCTCCAATAGGTTCAAAACTCCGGAGACGAAACGTCGAGACGAATTTTTCAACAGTAGCGCTATCGCAGAGAAATACACGTTAAAGAATATAATGTACTTATATATACTATTCTCTCTCAAGTATATATAAGCTGTATAATATATACATGTACAAATATAAAATTAACTAACTATATTAAGAATGGGATCTCTTAACTTAATTTTCCGTCAACAAATTGTTACTGATCTATTCACAAACGCAATTAATTTTCATTTCCCTTAGTACGTTTGAACCTCTTGGTGTGAACGCAATGTGCTAAATCATCATTGCACGGGATGTTGAAGCTGAACTTAAAATATAAGGATCCGGGGCTTAAATCGTAAATGAACATAAGAGACATTCGCTAGCATTACATAAAAAGGATTAACATGTCGAGAAAACGAGTAACAAGGCATTAAGATGTAAAGTCGCACGGAGAGAAGAATCATGTGTGTGTGTGTGTGTGTATGTGTGATTTCGAAACATGGCTAAGGAGTTTTGCAGATATGACTTTCGTGCTTGTCACAGTGTTTCTAAAATTAATGCTTCAAAAGCTCATTTCAAATTTATTTTCGAATTTAATATTTTAAAAAATATATATATAATACATCTTCTAGATTAACAAAACCTGTTCTTGGCATCAATTATGATCCCTCGATAAAATTTTACAAATTTATAAGAAATCAAATCTCTCTCTCTCTCTCTCTCATTTAAAAACAGTTTGGACATTACATTTTGGGCGGCTTTCAGTTCACGTGGTCTAGAAACACTGTGTCTCTGTTAGCTTGTAAACTATATCTGATTCGTGTACGCTCTTTCCCTAAGATGCGTCGATCTCTATAATTTGTTGAGAAACGAACTTTAGTCGTAAGAAGAGCACATCGACCTACGCTTTCGTCGCTCGCTTTCGTCTTTGCTATTATGCTCATCCGCAGATTCTTAATAAAATTGCTCGGTAAGGCAAGACCGAATATCGAGGATACGTGAAGGGGATGCGACTTAATAATCTTGCGATGATTCTTCCCTCGATATTGTAAGTATCGAGGTTGTTTACGTAATTATGCGTCAATAGCTAGTCATTTTAAATGATCAAAACTTGTTTCTTATCTGCGATAGACTATTGTTGAGCACGCATCCTCCTGCACGTATCCTTTTTCCAATGATACAACCAAACGAGAAGAATCGAAAACGAACGCTACTCGCATTAGGAACACATTAGCGGACGATTTGTATCGTATATGCGTACATGTTTTTGTCGTATCGATGAGGGGGACTGTATGTATGTGTGCATGTATGTCTGTATACTTGCAGAGAGATGTATTTCTCGCTCGCTCCTCTCTACACGCATCGTTCGCACAATCTCTCTCGCCTAATATTGCGTGCGCGTGTCTGCCTCGACGTAGAAAAGATGGAAGGAGAAAGAAGAAGAAAAAAAAAACGGGTACAGGTCTTAGACGCGCGGTCGCTTTTCGTTTTCCCGGTCGGAATCAGAGTCCGCTGAATCGTGGAGGGGCGGAAATTCGGGCACCGCCTCGCGTTGTTGCATCCATCCCGCCGCGCCTGGCCCCCCAGCCAATGCCTTGCCCTGCGTCATGTTTTTTCGATTGTTTGTTTTTTGTTTTGCAATTTTTAGCCCTCTGTCTTTATCCCCTGCAGGATGGCGACAAAATAGCGTGTCATTGGTCGCTAAGCCTCGTCTCGACCCGATAAAAAAAAAAACTCTTGCTTTGCACGCTTCGCTTCGGAGAGAATGTCAGGCCTGCCCCCCCCGTGTCGCGGGTACACGGCCAAACTTTCTCGAAGCTCGGCATGTTGTATTGGCTATACGGCGGCAACGAGAGATAGAAATTCGGAATGTGCTTCATTAGATCAAGTGCACTTGAGAAGTTCCAACTTGAGTTTTTACTTTATGGCATAAGTTCTCTCTGAAAGCAAAATGTGCGAATTTTGTTAATTACTCTTTGCGTTATATGCGCGTTCTTGATACATGTCCTGGCATCATCTCTCGTTACCATATCGGGAAACAAAAGGATTCGAACGCTACTCTCGGTTTTCGCGTTGAACGCGAAACTTGACGTTTGATTATCATGTTTTCACCATCCACGCGCAGTAAACGCAAAAGCGAACATCAAATCGGGAAATCCTTTCGAATTTGCCAATGCAACGAACCGGCGTCTATTCTACTACTGTGTCTACGCGAAGTTCTGAACTCTGCAAAACGAGCTACAATGAAATTTTGACCATTCACTCCCTCTCTGCCATTCTCTTTCTCTCCGCCTTTCGATTCATCGCGTACTCATCTCCAATTATTCAAATCATCTTTCAAATCAAGACAAATAAAGAAACGCACACACATACTACCTTGTAAGACCAGTAGACACGTGGGCCTCTGAAAATGACATTATTGTAATTCGAATATCTTTCAAAATCACTTTACTCTCCATAAATTACAATCGTCTTCCTACGTACAATCTGCATCTTATGAAAGTGATGAAAAAAAAAACCAGATTATGGAAATTTTTCAAAGGCTCTCATGTCTTGAAATTCTACATGCAGCCATGCATGTCACGAAATGTTATCTCTGCCCTAGTATCTCTCTCCAACTACAGGATATACTTCAACGATGCCTTGTCTCTTCCTTCTATCAACCTATATACTTATCATACGTGTAAATTGTGTGTGTATGTACGAATTGTAGTGTAGGAAGAGCTGCCTTTAAGTAAGTCTCTAATGATTAAGTATTCGAAAGCCGTGTAAAGAGCGACACGAAACCGCGCGCGAATGCACAGGGGTAGCGTTGTCAAATATTCGTGTGCAAATGGGAGATTCGTATAAATCGATCGGAGTGACCTTCCATTGTTGTCTGTCGGATACCGAAGGTAATCTCGAATAATTTCAAGGCCTCACTTTGAATTCCGCGACTGGAAGAATCGCAGTGTTAACATCGGTTCGCGCTTTTCGAGCGTGTGTGTATGTGTGAACAATTAATAATCGAATTAACTTATCGCTTGCTGTCACCAATCTTTACTATCTACGTAAGAAAAACGGCCTATCTAATATATTTCTAAAACTTAAAACAAAGTCCCAATATCAAAATCTTATTGCACACTTAGCGAGATCTAATCCTAAGGGAAGAGCTCGAAGGCGGGGACGTCTTTCTGGAGGGAATAATAACCATATCATCGGGCGAAAAGTCCTCCGCTTTTGCCGATACATATCATCGATCTAACTTAATATTCGAAGGATTTCCGAGTCCAAAAGCTCGATTCGCGCGCAAACACGCGTATTCGTAACGTTGCGTCTGTGATCGCATCTTCTCTATTGCCGTTGCATTCTCCCAATTCTTCTAATGTCGATGCATTACTCTTCAGGATGTGGATTAATACGTGTCAAATTAACAAGATCATTCTCGGACGCGCATCGAATTAAATTTTTACAGATATTTTTCGAAAACGCGGAAATTTGATTTTTTCCTCTGAAATTGCTAAAATTCTACCAACATTTAATCATCACATTAGACTGGCAAATTTGATCAACGTCGGATTACTACATTTTCTATCGCGCTTGGGGACTCGTCGATTTATATACGTATATATTTTTAACGTTCGCGTCGTTTCTTTAACGCGGTCGTTTTTTCCCCCACATGTAACTTGAGTTCCAAAATAAATTCTATTCCTCGTGGTCTACGAGCGGAAATCTTCTTTCTCTGCGCGACTTTTTTTCATAAAACCCGGCTCGAGGTAAAAATTTCGAAACACGTCCCCGGGACACGCGCGTCCACCTGAGTACGTATATATTGCACTATCGATGAATTAGATGAGAACCGAGCTCGAGCACCTCGCGAATCGAAGAATTTCTAACAACGTTTTCTCCAAGCATTTCTTCTCGTTCCTAGAGTCTCGCGCGAACGCCACGACCATTCTTCGAATGTCTCCCTTTCTCGCTTTAAGAACAATTCTAGGGAAAGAGAAATGCGCCTGTTGCAACAAAGGACGATGTCCTCTTGATCGGCTCTCGTCAGCTTTTCTAAAAAAAATCTCAGCTGGCCTTTCTCTCTCTTTTTCTCGCGCGCTCGCGTATTTTCTTTCTACCCCTAATTTTTTAAGTGTTTCTCTCATTTTCTTTCTCTCTCTTTCTCTTGTCTCGTATCGAGTTTGCAGCGAGTTTCATTAGATACATTTGCGAGAGTTTTAGGTCGGCCTGACACGTCACTGGAAACACAATAAAAAAGCACGAGAGGCCGAGATCAGTGATAGATGGCATCAGATTCCGATTTCACGTCTCATCATTTTCCCCGGTTGCGTGATCTCATTCTCTCTCACTCTCATTCGTGTTCATCTCTCTATCTTTCTGTCTCTCGCGCGATTCACACTTTCCTCCCTCTCCCTCTTAGCTTCGACTGCGCATCGTCTTTTGCATGGCTGTCTGATCCGGTGTCTCTCTCTCACTCTCTGTCGCCTTCTAAGAATTTCGTTTCATCTGTATCAAGAAAAAACGTCATTGAGTGCGATCTCGATCTCGGATTTGGGGTGTCCGATCGTTTCTAGCGTCGGATCATAATTTAAATCCTGACAAGACATTTGCCCGATTGCGATCTTCTATTTCCGAAAATTAAATCCGATTTGTGTGCGGTTAGTTAAGAATTCCCCCGCTAAAATTTACATAATATAATCTCTCTCTAGGACCAACAAGAGGAGGATGTGCGTCATCCGGGATCATCTCGGGCGCGAGAAATGTTCGCGATTTCGCAGCTTCCGAGATTGGAACTTGTCAAAAGGTGATGGAGAGTAGAAGAGACGGCGCAGCAGACGACCGATGGATCGTGTGTAACGTAGATAAGATAGCATAGACTGTGCCAGAACTGTGCTTGCGACAATGCGCCGTCTTTCTTCTCGAGAAATGTCATTCTTGATCTATCTTATGTCGCGAGGAAGTACAAAATAGGAAAGACGACAATCCGAAAACGGCTGGTTTAGGGAAAGACAAATTCCCTCTTCGACAATTTCGTCGCGAGTCTCGTCCGATCTTTGTTGCGACAAACACAGTTCCATGTTTCGTTATTGTTACTTGTTAGACTCGAAATACCAACCAACAGCTGATTAGAACGAGATTAAAAGAAGAGGGGAAGAGGAAGTAAAGGAGACAAAACGAAAGAGATGGTGATAAGATAGTAATGATGGAATACACAAGTGTATTATTACTTTAACCGGTGCATAATGTTAAAAGTCAATCGGTCGGCGTGTGAGAGGTTTTTTGTGCTCATGTAAGAGTGTACAAAGCGATTGCTCATTTGTTACGTATGCGATTACGGGAAACGTTAGTGCCAGCTGCAGCGTCAAAGAGGATTCGTTGCAAACTTTGCTGTCAGAGTCGATCGCATATGCGCGACGCAACATTGAAATTGATTGAAATCGGCGAGAAATCGACGTACAACAAATCGCAAATTCAATCTCGTTGAAAGCAACCAGAGACATTTCTTATGAGTCGTAGTTTAGTCGAGAACGGAATGTGTCGATACGTATTTGTTGTCCACTGTGTGTTTGTTCTTTCGAAATAGAAACTTACATGGAGCAGAATAATACTTTTCTAATATTTCTCGGCAATATATCCGAGAAACAAACTAATAAGAAATCACAAATTATGTTTTCCCCTCTTTCTGAGAGAGTAAAAAATTGTGCGATTAACTAAATTTAAAAATTTTCTTTTTCCGTGAAAAAAAAGCGAAGGATTCCCTACGATTCGTAAATTCGCTACGTGTCGTGTTTCTCTCCGAGTCGATTTGAAAAAGCATTGATCGAACGATAAAACTGATGGAACTTAACGTCTAACAAGAAAGTACGGGAAAAGGCGCGGGCTCCGTTTCAGATCGATAAGGAAGCAGAGAAACTACAGAAGCCGGAAGTGACTGCGGAACAGCGCAGCTACGAGCATGCATTTTAGTCGCTTCATTTCAACCTTTGCAGAGAGCGGCACCCCGTTCTACGCGATCCTGAAAGTCTCCGGATGATCCGGATGAACCATGAAATTAATTTCCTCTCGAGTTTCCCTAAAATGGGAATTGGAATCGATTTCACGAACTTGAAATATTTTCCAAGATGGAATATTTATCAATAAAAGAAGACGGAGAAGAAATATTATACGTCGTTGCAATCAATTAGGTAATTTTGTTTCATTCCAATCTTTTCGCGTATTCTGGACTCGAATCGAATAAATTCTCCGACAGATAATTCATCGGACGAATGTTAGCGATACTTTTTCTTTTATTCGACGACATAGAATTGTAGTCGGAGCGAAACATCGACAAGTGATTAACGTATCGACATGTCAGATATTGGATCCGCCGGCTAGAAATTCCTACAGGAATCTCCTGCCAGACTTGCCGAATACTCTAGCTCGTTGTGTTTACCCGCAAATTTAATTTAACGTCACTCTGTGCCACGTGACATTGTTGAAATTGTACGTCAGCGAAATTTACTGTGTCTGAAAAGAACAAAGTGCCACGCGAGACGATATTCCAACGTCCGAAATTAGCACACGTAATTTGCCAATTGCGATAAGATATATTTTTCGTTAAAAAAAAAAAAAAAAAAAAAACGAACAGAAACGCTTACATTTAAAGAACCCGAGAAAGAGGAGTGAATTATGAGAGCAAATCCAGACTTGCCTCCAGCGAATTTATGAAATTGTAGAAGAAACGGGAGAAGAAGATAACGATTTACGCGCAGAGAATATTCGAAGAGGAATAAATTGGAAGAGACTTGCGGAAGATTGATACTACCGGGTATGACACACCGGAGGAGCCCCGCAAGATTTCCCCTCTCGTCTAAATTCGCTCCGTTCGCGTTGCGTTGCATCGCGGGAATGCTAGCGACTCGTTAGAAGCGCGGCGACGCGCATCCACCAGCTCCATTAATATGTGAGAGAGCCAGCCCTGCCTAAAAAGTGACTTAGCAACTCCAATGCATACTAAGCAAACCTGGCGCTATATCGGCTGCTAGCTAGTGTGGGTGTACGTGTGTCGGTGTTTGTGTCTGTGCAGTCTCTAGGCGGCCCCTACTCGATCCAACACATCTTTTCGCATCGCGACTGTCGGCGCCCATCTTCACGGGCCAACAGCAACAGCATACTCAACCTAATATATGTATACATATATCCCAGCAACGCACGCACACACACGCACACATACGCACACATCTAGTCACGCACGCACGCGCATATACAGGGCAAATAAAAGAGGTTAATAACGCGGAGTAAATCCTCAAGTATGCGTACATCTTGATCCTTTAAGTAAATTAACTTTGCCAAACATAAGTATCTTGGACCACGAAAATACGAGAAAATATATTGTAGAGAAATATCTGAAAAATCATAAAGATCCGAAAAATAGTCGAGGGAGGAAAAGAGGATTTTTTTTCGATCGCGTAGCATTTTTCGAGACCAAAAACATTATAAATTCTATTCATCTATAAATTTATAACATTATAAATTCGAATTCATCTATAAATTTCCTTTACGCATTTCGGGTTGTTTTAAACGAGAATCCCTGTATATGGCATCGTACCCATTCCGAAGCTCAAGCGTACTCCTTCACCAACATCCTTCCTCTCTCACTCTTCTGTCGCGATATCGTTCTCACGCTCTTTTTCTTTCTCTCTCTCTCTTTCTCTCGTAGTGAGTGTGAGTATGCGGAAGGTAAGATGCGCATGCATTCATCGGGATGCAATGCCGTGGCTTGGAATTGCACGGAAGCGAGTAGCGGACTTTAATAATAATTTCATACGTTTGTACGTGTAGTTTTCCGCGAAAGGAAAAAGAGGTGAACAATCAAGAAATAAAATCTGCGATTGACAATACTGGAAAGATTTACGTTAGGAATGCAGGAATAACATCGAACAAACGTAAGGAACATTCGACATTACAATCAAAATACAAAAAGAAACATAAAACTTTTGATCGTTATTTAATTTTATTTTTTGCAGTTATAAATAAAAATGTTGATGTATGACTGAATTATCACGGTAAAAAAAGAATTTTCTTTTTTTAAAATAATAACATAATGTCCAAAATTTACTAATTCTAAACTCATCAAATTAAAATTATCATTATTCGAAATATTCGCTGAAAAGATACTAGTTTCTGAAAAAAAAAAAAAACTGTATAAAAAATTTAATTAGTTTAAAATATTTCACAAATATTAATATTACAATGGATCAAATTTTTTCAATTCATTAAAACATAATCAAATCCACAAACCTAAACTCAATAAGATTTCGGAGTATCCAACAGAGTTCATCGTACAAACATTTCAGCTAAATCTCGTCTTTTTTATTTCAGGTTTAACGTCATCGGAATCAAAAATATCTCGTGCATTCCAAGCCCCAGCTTTACCGTCTACCGTCTGTACCTTATTTTAAGATATAAGCTCATGCTTAGTAAAACGCGGAATCCAGAAAGCATTAGTAATTACTAATCAACTACCAGACTCGGCTAACGAGAGGAGGCTGTATAAATACTGAGAGTGCTCTAAGGAGGATTCTACGTGAATTTTACCTGATGCATCGGGTCGTATCCCATTGAGCCGTCGTTGTACGGCTGCGAGCCGTAATCGCTGCCGTTTATTCCCATGCTGTATCCGGCCATGTCCTGCGGTCCTCCGGGCGGCGCCGGCGACATCATCGGCGTCGGGGTGCCCTGGCTGGCACCGCCCATGCTGTACGGCGATGCTCCTGCAAAAGCTGCTGTAGAAACAATCGCGGTGCATACAAAATTCGAGGGTGCGTTTTTTTAAGCGCCACAGCGATATTTTGTCTCTCTGTGCCTCGCGCGCTTATGCTCCTTTTATTCTCAAAAATAACATGTCAACGTATTAGTGAATTCCCCCCCCCCCTAATTATTAAATTATATCGTGCGAAAATATATAATTAAAATACATTGTTATTCGCTGGAAATTTAATCGAATTTAGCTAATTCAGTTTTCGAATATATAATGTAAATAATGATTTCAACTCGTTGAAAGATAAGATTTTTTTCTCGTCGCAAATCTGATTCTTTTCTACTCGAGATTTGTATAAACGTACTCGGCTGCTAAGGCCGAATATCCGACGCTTGTAAAACCTTTGCGCCATTCGAGAGAAGCGTTGTTTCGCAGGGTTGGATAGGGAGGTCGTTAGAATTCCGTTTCTTTAATTACGAGAGGACCGCGGGCCGTTTCGTCGCGAACGTGGTCGAGGAAAGACAAACGCAGAGAGTGCTGAAAGAAATGCGAGAAGCTCGGAATTTCCTCTATTGCCTATCCTCGTCCCCACGTACCCTCTCTCGTCCATCGTGGCTCGTGTTTTTCCCTCCGCTCGTTTCTCCCTCCCTTCCCTCCTTCCTCGTATAATTGGTGAGTTAAAAATATCTCACGCCGGCGTCTCCAAAATAAAGTAAGATGCCTCGCGGTAGTTAGACGAAGCGTACGTAATTGCAACGACCAGGGTGGAATACGCGAATCCGTGGAATTTCAAAGTGAGGCCGAGAATTTTTTCTACAATTTTCACGACTGCGGAAGGGGAGATCGCCTCTCTCAGGCTGGAAGTGGGAGATGAAAGTAGGTAGCGAGCGGGAACGTCAGACGTGAGTCTATCTCGGCGGAGGATGTAATGAGAAAATTTCGCGTAGTCTTATCTACGCTCCGTCTGTTGCTACCGCCTGGCATTTTTAAAAACTGAAATTTTTTTCGAAAGATATACGGAACAGACAGTGAACATGCTGCATTAACTTCATCTATATTATTTAAAATAATTTCCTAATTTACTAGATACCCGCTAGAGAGAGGTAGATTCGGCTTCAAAGATATTTAAAGTATAAGTATTACATGCCAAAGAACACATCAATATCGTTAAATTTATTTTCCGCCGATGATTCATTAACAACCGCAATAATAACGTCACTGCCGCGCCGGAACAATAAGCTATAACTCACCTAATGATTTACAGTGATGAGACTTCTTCCACCTTGGTTCCAAGTCTAAAGCGTGAAAAAGACGAGAGAAGCATGTGGGTACGATTTGTTTATTAATTATTTCAATTTATGCCTTCCGATTTTTACTTCATTGTGTTTTTCCTCGACAAGGCTCGACCAAAGGAGCAATAAGCACGAGAGAACATTGAGAAATCGAAACGACGCAAATAGAAACGTAAAAGTATTTCGTGAAATATTTTATGAATTCGCCATTCGTATTTTTCTCTATCATTTTTCGTCAATAATGTGAATCGTAACGATTCGATCGTGGAGACATTCGGATTTTAACATTTTAAGAAGCGATTTTGTGTAGTTTTTTTTTTCTCTCTTACAGGATTTTACAGACTTCTCCTCATAATTTATATAAGTGAAATGAATTTATAAAGGAACATTGGTCGCTAAGCGAAAATTAGGACTTACCAGCTGCCTTCTTGGCTGCGTACAGATTTGCCTCCTCCTGTGCTTTGCCGATGTTTTTCTTATAGCGTATCCTCTTATTTCCGAACCAATTGGACACCTAAGAATAAACGAAACGAAGATGTGCATTGATTTGTCGAGAGATTTTCACGCCTACGATTTCATTTTTTCTCCTCAAAGAATTTATAAATGTTTTACTCAGCACAAGACATTTTTTCTTTTAAAGAATAATTTTGAAATTACTTTCAGAATATAAAAAAAATCACATATATACGTACACGCGCAAATAACGAGGCAATGTATGGCAAATTACAAAAGTTCTAGTAAGTGCGAGAAAAGAGAGCGATACCTGGCTCACAGTAATTCCACATTTTCGTGCAAGCTCCTCTTTAGCCTCTTCGCTTGGGTAGGGATTACTGAGATGGGAGTAGAAGTATTCGTTTAGAATTTCAGACGCCTGTTTACTGAAATTTCTTCTCTTACGTCTGTAACAACACAAATTACAGACGTGCATATTATATCTTGGATTAGTTGTTGCGCTGGGTAAATAGCTCCTGAATCTCGATAAATTTCTCCCTCCCTTTTCTTATCTTGTTTTCCAAAATGGCAATTGCTGTCGTAAAAATCGCGAAAGTTTCAGAATTGCTTTTTTATTATTTCATCACAAACCTGGCGTCCAAAAATCGACTCCTCAAAATCATTACGGCTTCGCAGGTGGATTGTTTGAGCTGCATCTGAATACTGGAGAATTTCTTGTGAATAATTTGAACCATCCTTTCGATTTCCTTCGGCGTGATTGGCCTGGTGCGACTCTGCTCCCTCAACAAGTTCATTACGTGGGTGGTGAATTCGTTACAAGCCTGAAACAAACAAAGGCGGAGCGTTCGATTTTACTTTCCTTTAATTATACAGAAGGAAACGTGTCAAATTGTCGAAAATTCAATAATCAATTAGAAATGAAATTGTTTCGAGATAAATTTGAATATACTGCGAATTACCAACATGACGAAAGGCAAAGGATTAAAATGAGCAAAAGACGCGAAGAAAGTACCGTGACTAGAGCATGAAAGGAAAGATCGGGTGACGAAGAGAGGGAAGAAGCGAGAGACGAAGGACGCGTACGTATAATGCATTATTCCTGGTGGCTGCTCGGTTTAAGGGAAAAAGGACTTTGCTCGATATCAGTATTCGAGGCGAGCATGCTGCCTCGCGAAAGGGAGAGAAAGAAAAAGAGAAAGAGAAAACGAGAGAGAGAGAGAGAGAGAGAGAGAGAAAGTGAGCTGAACAGAGGGGGAGTAGCTTTTCCTGAGGGAAGGAACCGGGAAAAGGCCACAGGAGGGTGTCGGTACGAGAGGAGTCAGTGGAGAAAGGGGATCGAACAGGGTGGCTTGCAATTTCGAAATGGATTCCACTCCGCCGACGATCCCACCTCTCTCCCCCTTCGTCCTCCTTTCTCGATCCACCGATGGCTTCTCTTCCTCTTCGTTCCTTTCTTCGCACGAGACTCGTGGGGTGGATCAACCCCGTCGACTGTTGCACGTGACAGAGCAAGAGGGAAAGAGATAGAGAAAGAGAGAAGGAGAAGGAAGGAGGAAAGAGAAGAGAAGAGAAGAGAGAGAGAGAGAGAGAGAGAGAGAGAGAGAGAGAGAAGATGCAAGGAACGAACGGAACGCTGCTGAATTGGATGGAAAAGCCGTAGCGAGTCGCATTTCCTCCCCTTCCCCTCGCGCAGACTGATTTCCTTTAATTTCTAAAACGCTCTCAAAGTGAATAATACTAGCTGGTGACCATCCGATACATTTTGATACAGAAAATGCAATCGATAATTTTAATCATCGTATTCTCGATTATTTCAAAGATTTTTTTAGTTTCTCTCACCTACAGGCCAAAAATATATCACCTTTTTTGAGAACAACTTAACTCAAAATGAATAATTCAAAGTGTATATATTTCTGTCTAGTCACATGTTTTAATAGTAGGTATATAGATTACTTAACAATAGACTTTTCATTAAATAATGAACACAGCAACTTAAGAAAAATTAATTAAATATATACACTTTGAATTAAGTTATCCTTAAAAAAAGATGATATATATTTTTGAGCGGCACATATAAATTTCTAGGAGACATTCTATGCAATATTTTTATATTCTAGACAATCTTTTTACTTTCGAATTACGAGATGACGTTGATTGAATCTAGAGAGAAAGAGAAAGAGGCTTGGAACGTCGAGTTATAAAATTAGGATCCATGCCGTTCTCTCCGATACAAATCAGCCACAAGCATAAATTCGATTATGCAACTGTTGAGGCTCTCCACGAGTTGTTTCTCTAACCGCAGAAACGCAGCCGCGCGACCGTCGGTGTCGGGCAGATATATTTAGCAATGCACGTTGGAATTTCCATAACGTTGCCGAAACCGGCCATGCCTGCCTCCACTTTATATTCTCGCGATACCCGAGCGTATTAATAGAGCGTGTTGCAATAAAATTAGAGCGTCGCGAGAAAATTTGCCTCGTCGAAAGGCAAAGTACGAACGGTTAGCGTCTTCGTTAAAATACTGGCAACAAGAAATAAAAAAGAAACAATAAATTGAAAGGAATTAGGCTCTATATGTATTTAAACAACACGATAAGAAACTAGCGAATAAGAGCCACCGTGGATGGTAGTGCGTAAATTTTTAATTGTTCGCGAAAATTTAAACGTGCACGAGGCATATATTTTCCTTGGTGTATTTACCAAGATATAGATTCTCATTTTTAAAAATTCTATAAACCCCCTTTACCCCCCTGAAGAGATGTAGACGAGAAAAATATCGGGGCGAAGTCGCTGAATCGAGAAAAAAAAAACAATACGCGCGATAATATGTAATTTATTTCTTGAAAATATAAAAATAAGATCATATAAACGTGAAACCGAAGTTATTATCCCAAACGAGTCCGCTTCATCTCCCCGATCATAAATTACAATGTCGGTAACATTTCATCCCGAATTATGGTAATAATTTAGAAAACGCGCAAGATGTTTATACTCGGCTTAACATCATACTTGATACGATTTACGGTAGATTATACTAGTCGAACGTAACAGCAGTAAAAGAAAATATTTATGCGCGCGTAAAATCTTTTCTCCTCCTCCTCCCCCTCTTGCGAACACCGGAAGATGCATTTTCTGCGCGCTTTTTCCGAGATACAATACCGGGATAGTACGGACGGTCGTAGGGAATCAGAGTTGAAAATCGGATAAAATAAAGGCGGGCGTGTACCGACGAAATTCATGGTAGGTAGGATGTTTGCTGGCGGTGATCACGCGATCTCGTAAAACCCGATGCGGTTCTATTCTCGTGCTTGTCACGCCATGTTGCATAGTCAGGCAGACATTCACCCTAATGCGGCGAGTCGACCGAATTTGAATAGTAAATTTCGCTTATGGCCGAACTTTCCGCCATGACAACGTCGCTCGCTAACTAAGCCAATAACTTTTCTCAGATACATAATGAAATATTTATATCCGTCTGTTCTCCGCGGGACGAATTTTTTTCCCCCAGCCGTCGTCTCCTCTTTTTGCGGGCGAAATATCTTTCATGAGAAGCCACCGTAATTTTTTGTCTCGACTCGAACCGCAAATTGCAATATTCTGTTAAAATGTTCGAGATGAAGGAAGAACTTCCGCGGAGCGAGAGAGGAGCGGGATTCCTTGCCGAGGAACCGAGGGATGCGAGATTCAAAACTCGTTAATGGCCACGTTTATCGGCGGACCAACCCTCGGCCGCGTCGCAAAGTGCACGCGAGCGCATATGTTTTCAGGGTGCATATTGTCGCGGCCGCAAAGAGTCGTGGCGCACGCGTTACAGGAGCGGATCCGGGGCGTTTCTACGGGGGACGGTCGCGAATTATCATTTGTGATTAACACTAATGGCGGCGCAAACTGGGAATTGCCGTTTTTCCAAGAATATAATCTTTAATTTCCGCATTAACACACACCATTTCGCCGAGCGTACACCGCGAACAAACGGGAGGACGAACGGCTGTAAAAACGCTCTTATCAGCTTTGCCTCGTAAAAAGAGGTAATACTATACGCGTTAACTCCGCTTCCAACCCGCTCGAAAGAATAAAAGCGCGCGTGGCATTCCCCTTCGGATATATACGTGTAAAATGTTATATTCAAATAATTTCGTACGAGGAAATGTTAACGCGCCCGATTTTAATCCGACCCTGACGAACGCCGGACCGGTGGACCTCCGGGGCTGTGCGTGTTTACCGCGGGGAAACATCAAGCCCGCTGACACACACGGTGAAATATGGGGTCGAAACGGGTGTGGCAATTAAAGCATACGGCCCACACATCGCGTTCGTCTACAAATACATACATACATGCACGACTACGTCGCGTATATTCCGCAGCGAGCGAGTGTGGAAGGTACGGAAGAGGGAAAAATTGCCGGCGAAAACGCGAAGGGCGTTAAAAAGAATTATTCGCGTCACAGGGCCGATATGAGTGGGCCCTATTTACGCTAAGAATGGCCGATTACGCACCACGTCGTGCGAATGTAAAGGCTTTTTATCGTAGCAGCGCGGACATTAAGCGGAACGACCGGTGATCTGTCCCGCGGAGAGAGGACTGATGACATGAAATAACTAATCAAGATGCCATATCGTTACGTGTAATACTTGGAGAGCCACGTATCCAGTGCGATTGGAGAAGACATACCGCGATCAATAATTTCGCGAAATATTCGCGTTTGTACAGAGCTTGGATTAAACTGACGTTTAGTTTATGGCGCAGTTAATTGAAAATTCTTTATTCTTTATTTCGGACGCGATCTCTTATCGGATGCTCCAAAAAGTGGCCTCGTAAAATTGAGTCGTTACAGGTCGAATTTTAGAATGTTACGAGAATGCTCGGAGCAGGAAATTAAAAAAGAAGAGCGACCGGGGGGAGAAATTCTTAATGAAACGGCTCGCGAAATAATATTGTCGAATTTCCGCAGCCGGTAATGGCCTGGCGCAGTGATTTGCATCGTTCTGAAAGGACCTGTATCACGCGACATACAGAGGCGAGGGGGCTGGCCTGTCCGACACGCGAGATTTTACTTAGCGCGAGCGGACCGGTTCATTAGCACGCGAATCGTTAACGGCGGTTGTTTCTTTCTAGCGCACGCATAATCCACTTCTTATCAGTTCATTTCGAAATCAGTTCAGTTGCGAAGTGACCGAAGATTGCAAAATTATCTCAGCGTTATGTCTAAAAAATGAGTTAGTTTTTTATTACAATTAAAACTTATTAATTTTTATTAGTAACTTTATCAAACTGAATCAGTATAAAAATATCATTAAAGTAGTGACAGCATTTTACCAAGTATTTTATTGATTTTAAAATTAGTGAAAAGTTAGTTACTACTCATTCTTCTCACAATCAGTGAGATTTCATTAACTATCATACAATCATTACTTATAGTGATCAATATGCATATGATTCTATATTTAAAAGAGAATATAAATCCTAAAAAATGTACATAGCGTGCCATAGAAAAATGATGAATGTTTTTCATAAAAGGTTGCAAAAAATTTTTATTAACATAGAAAAAAAATCGCTTAAGACCAACATGTATCATTAACAATTTTTAATAGGATACTAAATCATTTGATATCTATAGATAATTGCAAATCGATTCGTACTTGATCACTTTTCATACAGCGAGAATAGACTTATTCTCCTCGATATTTCGCATAATATAAACGCATCTTGGCGAAACCGCGAGATCGTCGACGAGCGATAAATTCTCGTCGAATTTCACGAGCGGAGAGATTATCGATGGCGGGGAATCGAGCCGGCTGATAGCGGGCCTGGATGGCCGAAATTTGTCAGCCGCCGGATCTCGACGATAACCGCGCGGCTACGCGTTTAAATTTTTCATTTCACCGGGAGTTTTTCCGGCCGAGGGTGAGTAACGGCGCTCGTTTATGCGCTGCGAGTTCATTTTGTGTTCTTTCCCGTTTGTTTTCTCTCTTTCTCTCTCTCTCTTCTTCGCGCTCGCAAAGTCGGATGATGGATAAAATGATGGGGATGTAATTCCCGCGACTCGAATTCAATACTCGATACCGCACCGATAATGGCGATAAGGGCCGCGCTCGCTCGCAGCGAATAATATTCATAAGCGGGATTTGCATAAAGAGCGGACGCGCTCGCGCTTTTCTCGGAATGAATAATTTTCGGGAGAAGGGGATATTTCGCGATGTAGCGCGCGCAAACGGAAAAATGTGTGTGACTGCGACGTCGCGCGCTGCGAAAATCAATACGAGAGTTAAACTGTAACCCGTTTGACTTAATGAGTCGGTCGGTTTCATTTTGTATTATCGCCGATCGAGATAGGCTCGCGGAGACACGAATGATATGATGTTCGTTATGCGATTTAGAGACGAAGGTGCAGAACAAGCTCCCAAGTAAGTTGCATAGAGCCGCTTTTGATGACACGTACATATTTATATATTTTTTTTGCACACAAACCTGTTCGTATTTTTCTAATTCCTGGTGATAAATTTGCCTAATCTGGGCGAGTTTGGCTCTGTAATCCGAATGTTCGATGGCGTTGTCCGGTTGACCAGGTGGTCCAGCAGCCGCTGCCGCGGATGCCGAGGCAGCAGCCCCCGCACCGCCGCCCTTTTCTGGTCCAGCGACCCCCTCGGCGATCAACATGTTGTCCAACCGCATCAACTGCGGATCTGGTGGCTCCTCTTCTTGCGTATTTCTCAGTGATAAAACTGAAAATAGACAAGAACACGAGAATGTGAGATAAAAAGATTCACACACGAAGATTATCCAAGTCAAATATAATTCTAGAGAAATATTTTCCTAGAAGAGAATTCTCTAATTTTTTTTTATTTTTTCTAAAATAATTATATAATATTGAAAATTTTAAAAATATGAAAATTGCGAGAGAAATATTTTAACAAAGGCGAATTAATTTGGTGTCGCCTTTGTTAAAATATTTCTCTCGCAATTTTCATGTTTTTAAAATTTTCGAAAACGATTGATTCGACTCGCAAGGATCTTGAGAAAGGAGAGACATCGGATTATCACGTGAACATGTTCTCGTGAAAATCTAGGAGGTTGTTCGCGCAGCGACTCCAACTTTCGGAATCGCGCGTTTGTCGATCATAAAAGAATCAATTTTGCTTTGGCTGTCTCTCGAAACCTCTTCTCCTTTTTGTCTTAAGGGCCCGGTGCATGCAGTGGTTTAGAACGAGTAGTTTTCCGCGATGTAACAGCGGTTTTATTGTACTTTTACGGCGCATGATGGAGCTGGACGACCCATAAAACCGCAGAGCAAGGGACCTTCTATATCCCGCCGTTCGTACGCTCCAGCTTTTCTGCCATCCTCTCTGCCGAAGATGCAGTCTCGTCGTCTTCGACAGTTAGCACCCTCTCCGAACGTAAACGCTGGCATGCATACAGAGAAGTGGAATAGAGCTCTTTACTTCTTTGAGCAAGCGTCAAGCGAGAAATTTCTTCGTCAGGGAAAATTAGGTTTTACATGCGAATCACGCAGGATAAAAATTTAAGCAGAGAAAGATTACGCTGAATCAACGTAAGCTGTGTTGAAGGATTTATGATGACATCGTGATTTGAATAAAAAATACATTTATAAGAAAATATATCTTATATATGTGTGAAAGAAATTGTGCCGGAATTTTGACAAGACATATTGGCACTATTATTTCAACATAAAAATCAATTTCGCAAAATTTTTTTGGCCCACTTGGCCGATTTATATTATGTATATTATAAATATTTATTAAACTTTTTATGAGTTTACGCGAAAACTCGCATGACAACTTTAGCGAGTTATCGTATTTCTCAGGCGTGGTTTTATATGAATGTACTCGCATATTCGCGCAGTTGCCCAAGTCGCTACTTGAATTCGCTCGAAAACTTTTCACGCCCCCGCCCCAGTTTTCGCCACAGCTCGTGAAAAAAGTCCCCCGGGGACGCGAAAAAGGGGGAAACGAACGAGACTTCTCGTAGATTCGCGGAGGCGTGAAACGAATGCGCGGGGCTAATGCATTTATACGAAGTGTAACAATTACGCAGGTAGAAAGGGGGGCTGGCTAGAGTTCCGTCTCTTCGGCAAGACTCTAGGGAGAGATTCTTTGGACCAGGCGCGGCGCGCGTTGAACAATGGTACATTTCCTCGAACAAGACGTCCCTTCTCTCAACTTGGTCATTAACTAATTTATCGCGAGTATTATCGTTTCTTTTTAAAAAGCTATTAAAAATATTTTTTATTGAAAAAAAAAAATTGCTATGGGAAATTAAAGTCGAGTTTCCATTATTTCCGAATTGAGTACTGATCGGCGGCGTTTCGGCGTAAGGGATGATTACGAATTATGATGAAGAAACGTTGGTCAAGTCAAATTGAACGAGAGAGCTCTGAGAATGAAATCAAATAAGTTTCGAAATCGTAGCACGTTTCGCGGCACTTCCACGATCGACTTAAGAAGGGGTTAACGACAGTCAACGCGCGGCCATTAAAACTTCCGCGCAGTCCCGGAAACTTTTCACGGCACTGTGGGTAATTAAAAATGAAAAACCTCCGGATCGGCATCGTGCGCCGAAGACGGCGGAATAAAAGGTCGGTTTACGGCGATGCGGAAGAACTTGCGCCATTGAAAGTTAAAAGGTCGAGCAATTTCGACCACCGATACGAGCACCCGTTTCAGAGTGGATATAATAAATGTTTATCTTCTTTCTTATCTCGAAAACATTATTCTATTTTTAATCCCTTTGGTCTTGACATCCGCTATAATGTCAATTTTATACCGCAATTTACCATTTTTAAAAAGAGAAAAGAAGCGATAGTTTAAGAGGAGGACAATTAATATTGAAATCTCGCAATGCATTTGGACGGGCATATTTTTGTATATTATTCTAAAAATAAAATCATCCATTATAATTTATTTGTAAGAATAAATAAGAGATGATTTTATTTTCGTTTAAATTACAATTTTAATAACTATAATTTACTTTAATTTATTTTAATAGCTATCAATAATACACTGTCTTATATTAACAGCTTCAACAAAAAAATGTGTAGGTTCTATTTATTCAATGGAATATCGTAAAGTTCTAGAAATTATTTATAATAAATTAATAAAAATTAAATTAATAAATTAATAAAAATATATGTATACACATATATATAAATATGACGATATCTGTAAGCTTATAGGCGACATAAATTTTGATAGTATATTTGTCGCAGCATGAAATACTAAATGGTGTAATATCTCCGAGGAAATAAAGTGAGCGAATTAAACGTTCTTTCGGAATTATTTTCATATTTGCTAAGAGAGCGAGCGGGCGGGGGGGTTTCGAACGGGGGTGGTTGGCTTACGAGCAATAATCTGGCTATTAGGGGGTGTAAGGGGCGGCTCTGCGTGCTGCCACGCTGAAGAGGGGCCGGGGACGACGGCAACCTCCTACGGGGGTCCTTACAAGCGCGTAAACTCAGTTTTACTAGCAGTTAACATTTTACGACTCAGACGGTCTGCCCGAACGGTCCGTTCTCGCTCTCTCGCGTTGTCGTTCCGTCTCTGTCTTTCTCGCTTCCTCTCCCCCTCTCACCCTCGATTGACACGCGAGGCTTTGTACGAAACACCCAGTATATAAATTCGTACCGCCTGCCTTAGCGTCGACGTAACGCTCGTCGTTTTCAAGCGAGGGTCGTTTTGCAAGCGAGAACTAAATTAATACGACGTTCCGATGAAGAGCGAGTTAATCGCTCGATTAATTCGCGTCGACCGCGAAACGACCACGAGCGATCGAAGAAACCATAATCCGACGTGAACGATAATATTTTTGAACGCTCAGTCGCGAGCGAAATATGGTAATTTTGTGGATTAAACGCGCGATGAGTAGCTCATATCGCTGCCCTCTTCTCTATCCGACGTTTCTCCGATCGCTTTTTAACATCCAGCGAGAATCGACCTGCATTTTCCCTCTCGTGTATCTGCTACATTTATTTCCCCCTTTCCCTATCCGGTGCCGCCGCGCTGTTTTCCACCGCGAAAAGCGGGTAGCAGCCGACAACCCTTTGTTACCGTGCCTTATCTTAATTGCTTTCACGGGTTCCCGTTTAGATCAATACACACCGTCGGCGTCCTGCCATACCACTCGCTCTCTTCTCTGTTGCTTCGCTCCGCTTTACGAATCTAAATTATCTCGAGGGTTGTTTCGACGCGCGGATCCCGCCGCTCTCTCTCTCTCTCCCTCTCTCTCTTTCTTTCGCCTCCTCTTGCATATTTTAAGAGCACCGGTTGGAACTTTGTCGTAAGATCCGTGGCAGGATGGTCTGAATTATCACGCACCCGGCGTCGTTAGCGAGATTAGGACAGCTTTCTCTACGACGTCGTCGTCATTTTTCAACGCGATTATCAAAATAAAGGGAAAAATATCAGAATAATAAGAATGTTTTTTATATGCATTGATAATGCATATAAAAAAATGAGTAGAATAATGACTGCATATATTTTCAGTAATTGAGGTTAATCATTTTCATTCTCCCAACAAATTACAATTAAATTAACATCTGATAACTTGTCCTTCTTTTGCAAAATCATAAATTTATTATTCTTTTGGATATTTTGCTTCATCAGATAGCTTATCATACAGATACAGATTGATAATTTAATCGAATGTTTCATTAGATCATTTTGATGCAGGATCAACATCCTAAATCTACTCTTCATTTACTCCATTTTTTTCATTTGTTTCCCTCGCTTTCTCGATTCTTTCTCACGCCTTCCCTAAAACGGGATTGAAGGGACGAGGAAGGGGGGAAGCCTGGAAGGAGAAAAGAGAAGATAGTCGAGATGGTTGCTCTTTTAATTCGAGGGTATATCCGGACGGTAGAAATTCGCTTTTCGAGAGGGAATCGGAGAGGATGAAAGAAAGACGCCGGTGTCTGCGTCCCTCCTGGGATCCGATATCGACGCCTCCGACGTCCTCCCATAAGAATATACGGAGCTCTCCTGATTTACGAAGGAAATCGAGACGACCGGGGGGGCTCGTGTTTCGTGCCTCATCCTCTCTCATTCGATGCGACGTGACGCGATGCCAGCTCGCATGCCGGCTTCGAATGTCGAGATAAAAAAAGAAGCGTGCACGATAAACGCACATCTGAACCCCTTTTATCGAAATCGGATACATATTCCGTTCTCCCGATTACATTTAATTCGAGTATAAATGTTTCAAACACACGATCCGCCTCTCGTCTCTTTATTTTTGCGACAATACAGACCGCGCCAAAAGTAATTCGCGCGTTCAATAGAAGAGCTAAGAGATAAATCACCCTGTGGAAAGAAATATGTACGAAATGTAGGTCGTGATGTTCGGGCGCGCGTACAAGAGAAAAGAATTCGGAAAATATTTATACTCGCAAGAAAATACGAAGAGAGGAAATGAGAAAAAATTCTCCAAGTCGGATACGTAATTTTACACGACAAACAGTCCTAAGATCTCCCGCAACACGCCGCGCGAATTACCCTCGGCAACTGCACCCGCCGTTTCGCGCCGTATCCCGTCGATCACGGATTTATCGGCGCGGAAGTTCCGGCGACGAGCCGGGATTTCTGGTCGGTCGAATCTCAAAACCTCTCCTTCCACCCGCGGAAAACAATGTTTTGCAAAGTTGGAAGAGGAGGGAGGAGGAAAGGGGGCGGGAAAGGAGAGAGTTCGCTCGCGCGTATATCTCCCGCTTTAT